GTTATAACATACACTGCACTATCATCAGTTTCGACCAGAAAAAAAGCCTTTGACAGAGTGGATCAATCAATCATACATATTTAAAATTATGGAAAAATTTGGATATTGTGAAAGCATACTCAAACTAGTCAAAGAAATATATAGTTATATCTACAGTCAAATAAGAATCAATAGAACAAAAACAGACAAACTATAAAAACAGCAGTGGAATAGGACAAGGATGTCCCTAAGCATGCTTTTATATACGCTAACGGAAAACCCCTTTTGCACGGTGAATGAATAAGAACACTGAGATTGAAGGCCCTGCCGTAGAAGAGCATAATGTTATTCCTAATCAATTTGCTGATGACCACAACAGACATTTCGCAAACTTTTGAGGAATTCAAGGAATACGAAAAAGTTACAGGTCAGCGTTTAAATGACAAGAAGACAAAAATTCTATGTACGAACTTTGCAGCGAATAATAAAATAGAAAATACTCCTTGTACCATATGTTTGTAAAAAAAGTGGGACAGTACAAACAAATAAGATAGAATATATTCTACAGAAATAAGTGAGCTGTTATCACATCTGGTTTGAAAAACTACAAATAATCAACTCACTTTGCAGGTCACAAATCATCTACCACACTAGAAAATATCGATTCTATGCTGGAATATAGATCATTTTAAAACGGTTTTTTTAACTGTTTATTTAGCAGCCGGAAAGAATCCAACTACGGTACTTGACGGACCACAATGTGCACCGTCAATGAATTAATTAGATTTTTTTCTTTCTATATATGGCGCACTGGACTATGAGACGCAAACGGCAATTGTACTGATTTTGAGTATTGCCAATAAATAACAAAGCACTACCTGATGCATACATTGGCGCGCTGGCTTATAAAGCACGCGATTGAAATGTAAAATAGATGATTGTAATCTAGACAAACGTAAAATATCGACAAGCTTAAATTACCCAGAAAACATCTGGCACAAGATGGAACTGAATGACTTATGTACAACAGCAACCAAAACATATAAAAACAAATCTATACCATATACCAGTGGTTCCCAAACTTTTTGAAAAAAATCCATAACGGACCCCTTGCAATTTTTTCGATGATTACCGGCCTTGTGCACTAAAACACAACATTAAAAGATCACGACAAAAAACCAATGCGCCGTATAGTGAAACGAACAAAAGAATATAAATCGCAACTCTAATGACATGTGGAACATCTAGTCTGTTTCGATATTTGGTAAACGTGCGAAAGGGCAGCATCAGCTACAGCCAATGTTCCCTCTAATTTTTTGTAGTATGTGTGCGCAGAAATTTTAGTGTGTGCGCGCTTTTTTGGAAATGACTGATATTTGTGCAAAAACCAATGAAGAAATTTCGGCGTTCTAACCGGGTAATAAGTGGGTCAACAACAAACTTTCTCAACCTGGCAACCGAGCACATTGTTACATTACATCGAAATACGTTTGTGCGCAGTAAATCTATTCGTGTGCGCACCCTCTGAAAGCTGTGTGCGCGCGCACACCTTAGAGGGAACACTGGCTACAGCCCTGCAGTTAGTAAACATGTGGTGATATAAACTGAACTATCTCTGTGATATCACAGGCCCACAGCTCTGTGATAAAACAATGGGGCAGCGTGATCGAAATAGAAGGTGAAGAATCAGTGTCTCCAGCGGTAATTTCGAAGCAACAAAAGGCGGAAATCTAAGAATCTAATTTTTGTATTATCAAGCTATTAGCCATATTACAGATTTGTTTCCCGAAAGTGCTTCACGGACCCCAAAGTTTGGGCCGACTGATCCATAGCAACCAAAGGCCACAAATATTCAGATTTTGCAAAAAGTATCTAAATACAACGAAGAAAACTAGAATCATTGACAAGCAATGAGAATCTATTTAATATAAACAGTTTCGTTAGGGAGCCGCACAATTAAATTTGATAATGGAAAATAAGAAATAGGACGAATGAATAAATTGAAAACGGCTTCCTGGAAACGAAAAAGGCTTGAGTAACTACGTATGTAACAAATAAAGAAAGAAATAATCTCCTATAGATTAGGCACGTGATGGAATAATAAATTGATTTGTTTCAATTCGTTACAGTTACAACGCATATTCAGAAGATGATAATATAAAATGAAAGAATGAACACAGAAAAAAGCAATGAATGACAAGACAAATAAATAAGATTATATAGAAAGTTTAAAACATGAAGGGGCTACAGAGTAATATCAAACGAGTTGAAAATTTGACGATTGGTTCGAAACAGATATTATATAAGACATAATCAAGCACATAAACAAACAAAAAGTAGTCAATTCGAACCAACAAACAATGAAAATGATGATAACGATAATAACGACATTGTAATATACATTGCAATGATGTTATACAGACATTGTGCCTTAGCGGATACATGAATACGGCAGCACCTGCATGATCCTTTTATCCTCAATTTACGATCCAAAAAGGTATTATATTAAAATAAGCTACCGCTGAAATCGCACAAGTTTTTACCGTACTGATTTGGTATTGTATGGAGCGGGGCGATCCGGGGACGCAGGGGCGCAGCCATGTCTTCGAAAGAGAGAATGGGTTCGAATAATCGATTGCCGTAAGCCGATATTTGTTTCTTGTCGCGGAAAATATAGAATCCGTAACCGAAAGTCTTACCCTTAAATCGTCATAGCAGTAAAAAATAAAATATATATATTCGTTTTTCAGCGAATGGCGTTCCGATTGTTTCATTCAATTTTTAAGAAAATAAATCTATGAGTGGCTTTTAATTAATATTGCTTTGTTGTTGAAAAATTATATATATTAAAGAAATAGGAATTTACAATAATGCCGTTCGATTATTTATTCTAAACATAGAATTATTCCCTTTTTCAATATTATTGTAAACTCATTTTCTATAATAACAGTTAATTTAGTCATATATACGTGGTGTTGAAATTCTCCAATACGCAAGAAAAAGGTTGTGAACGCCCGTAGCAAACATTTACAGGCATTAACCTATAAAATGATCATGGAGTTGAAAATTGCTTTTACTTCATTTATTGATGTTACGATAATATCGTCAGCCTGAGACTCGCAAAGTGAACGAGCGTTTTTTATGTTTCTAAAGTTTTTGCTGTAGTGAGCTCAATACATAGATTTATTTAAATTTCATTATTAACGTTTTTGGTTCGAGGTTCTGCGAAAATCAGACTGTGAGACGTTTGACGCAACAAAATAGGATTATAGGGTATTGCAAAATTGCTCAATGCAAAATTATGCAATGCTGGAAGCACAGTCGAAGTTGAGAAATGCAGCTCTGGGTTATTATGAATACAATTCACTCGCAAACGCAAAAATGTTCATTGAATATATTTCTGTAATGAAAAAGTATTTAACGCAAGAAATATTTTGAGAATAAGAGGATTTTGAGGCAATCCAGTATATATTCAGGGGACGAGAAATTTAGAAACAATCGGGAATGACTGATAAAACGCCCGTCGATAAATGATGATTTAAAATGATACTTATGAAGTAGTAATCAATTTTATAGCATCGTGGTTCGACTGGAAAAAGTGCACGTATTCTATTTTTGCATTTTAATTATATTTGACTATTAACTGATGAGTAATTAAACAAAGTGTTTTCGAAACGGTGGAAACGAATTTTGTGGACTTTGCGCCACTTGTAGTGGCAATATGCAGTAAATTTCTACGGCTTCAAACTATTATTAAAAGATAGAATGCATCTATGGAACCAATTTAGGATTTTAGTACTAATTCTGCAATATTGCACATTAATGTTTCCAATATTCCAAGATTCATGATGCCTTTTAATCATGCATTTTTTTCATTTGTTTTGTACATTTGTTAAATTAATTGTGAACTTGTGTGTTTCAAAATACAAACGATTTGTGCTATACACAACCAAGAAATTCCATAGGCCTACACAGTATTTGCAGTATTCAAAATCGGCGTCATTTATATATTAATTGTGGTGATCTCTCAATAAATCCCAATTGAATACCAACATGTGGTTCAAATTTTCATCAACCAAAGACTGAAGAAGTTGTCAGAAGTTTACTACATTCAATTATCTACTTCAATTTGCTGTTCCTGTTAAATTGCTTTCAAAGTACTGCCCGATTGTAAATCGCGTTTTTCTGTATTTGTTTTAATTTTTAGTGGGCGGACACGTACATTGTACGCTTTTAACCTTTTTCCAAGTTATGTCCGTCTCTCAGGTATTTCTGCATTTTGTTTTGTCTGTTTACTTTTTGTATTGTTTATGTTAGAAAACCAAAATAAATGATCGATTGATTGATTGGTTATTTAATTTGCATTTTAGAGTCACCTTGCGGGTGTAATCCAATACACGATGTATAGAAAAACGGATGCCACCTACACCTTTTTGTTTTTACTCAACCTATGTCTTTCACAAACTTGTAACTGCAAGAAAATTGTGATCATCGGGGCAGGTGTAAGTGGCTTATCCGCTGCTCGAGTGTTATTCGAAAATGGCCAGAATGATGTTACGATTCTTGAGGCAACTGACCGCATTGGAGGCCGAATATTTACAACAGAATTCAAAGGTCATATGTATGAACGTGGAGCTCAGTGGGTTCATGGTGCGCCGGGAAATCCTGTTTATGAGGTCAGTACCGGAGCAAATAATTAAGACTGCGTAGAATACGTTATTGCAAAACAACTGTACTAGTTAGCAGTGACTCTCAATTTTCCCTCCTTGCGATGGTTTTATGTGCCCCACTGTATTGAGTGATATTTCACATCCAATTTCTCACCTAACTGGTTAATTACTTTGGATTTTCTCGAATTTCGTGTCAAACATGATTTCATATACTTATATCTTCTTCGAAAGACAAATCTGTGTTTTTGCAGAAATTTTTGCCATTTTTTTTTCCAGCACTTTGTGGGCTTCTCGCCTCTATTTGAGCAAATAGAAATATAACAAAAATACGTTCAATATATTTTTTTAAACAGTACCTGAATGAAGATACAATCTCGAAATAGAGGAGTTGGCATCGCTACTCTCCGCCAAAAGACTCCAAATTTCAGTACTACAGTGGAAGACCGCTGACTTCCAACTATAAAAGATTTATTTTGGAATTCTTCAAGTAAAATTCTCAATTGTTTTTTCGTCATATAACTAAATTTTGACCAGCCTTGCAGTAACTATTGACTACATCTATTGAGAATTCACGCATGTTTCATGAAGTCATTATTAGAACATTTCGCAAATAACATGCACGAAAATTGAACAATTGTTTGTCTTTGTTGGCGATAATGAAAAAAAGGAGACAAGACATAAAAAGACAACAAGCCTGAATAGTGGAATTTTGAAAGAATTTCAATCTTTCGTCATCTTGAAATAAATAATAATAGATCAATGGTTGCAAAATGCTTATATTATATCTGCTGCATTTATTCAACGGAGGTTTTAAAATGAACAGCGATGCAATATGCATGTTGTGGTGAATTTATCGTAATATTTCATCGATTTCTATTTTAATCACAATGTCTTTGCAGAACTTATGGATCATATTGAGTTGGAAATCGGGAGACTCGTTGAATCAGAGGGAAAAAGTGAGGAAGAAATGGCTAATCTGCGACTAGGGAACTTGGCAAGGAAAATATGGAGAGAAAAATTTATTAGGCAATATACTAAACTTGGACTTAATATAGAAGTGATCAACCCAGTTCTTATAAACAAATTCGGATTACTGGAGGACAATATCGGGAGACATCCTAATATTGTTAATTACCTAGGGTGGTACCAATATGAAGAGTATGGTGACAATGACGTAAAAGTTTTGGATGGATACATGAGTTTGCCTAAAAAATTGATTAAAGATATCCCGAAAAGTGCAATCAAGTTAAATAGCAAAGTTCAAAGTATACAGTGGAATGAGAAAAATGAAAGTAGAGTCGCCATAACATATTTGAATCAATTCAAAAAGACTGAAGTATCTCACGCTGATATCGTGCTTGTCACGGTTTCGATCGGATGTCTCAAAAAATATCACAAAACTCTCTTTGATCCAAATTTGCCAGTGGAGAAACAAGCTGCAATAAAGAAGATTGGTTTTGGCGCAATCAACAAAATGATGCTTTTTTACAAAATTCCATTTTGGGGTCCAAAATTTTCTGAAACGTATTTTTTGTGGGATTCGTATGATGAATCAAATAATACAATGCTTGAAGACGAGTTTGCTGTTAAAACCCATTGGTGTCGTGGCATATATAAAGTCACAAGCTACAAAACAAATTTTCTTATGTTTTGGATCAATAAAATAACCTCAAATCGGATCCGTAAAACACCTGAAAGTGAACTCAAACTGACTGTTACAAATTTGTTACGACGATTTCTGAACAATCCAAAATTACCAGGTCCTGATGATATCATAATCACCGAATGGCAACGGGATGAAAATTTTCTTGGCACTTACAGCTCCCCGGCAATTGGACAAATGTCAAGCCATCAAAAAAAAGTACGAAAACCTTTATACGTTGACGAAATGCCAAGAGTATTTTTTGCGGGAGAAGCGCTAAGTATATCGAGGTACGGGACGGTGGATGGAGCATTCTCGACAGGAAAAAGTGAGGGAGAAAGAATCTTGAAGTTGATGCATGAATAGAAGCCGTAACTAAAACTGGCCAATATACTTTGGGATTGTTTAATTTTCTGTTTGTTATCAGTATGATCCGATATGTTTATTATTTGATTATTAACATGTTTGAAACAATTTCCTCGGGTTTTGAATCATATTGAAATTTATAAACTAATTTATATTTGGCTAGATAGGCAATCCGTTTAAATTTCTCAATTGTTTTCAAAATCATTAAATTTAATAAGAACTGACTGTTTGCGACTTTGATACATTTGATTCAATGCGGCATCAGGCGCATTAAACCCCTCTTTTCCGTGCTTTGGTTTAAATCGAATTTATGGTACTATGAGGTCTAAAACTACACGAGGGAATGATAATCTTGCTTCGTATCGCTTTGAAGTAACCGAACACCTGAAAAGGGTTCTCATCATATCGCGTTTCCTTAATAACACATAGGATTAAGAAACATGAGAAGCATTGAAATAGGATAATTTCTGCAAAACTAGCTATCGTGCGCGGTTGTTCAAAATAAGCTGACTGTCAAGTTTTTTTCCTAACAAGATCATCTCGAAAACCTCTCCGGTTCTAAGAGAGGTTAAATGCGAGATAACAAAAACTTTGGGGTTAACAACAAATGATATAAGATAACATGTAAGATACCAACACAAAATTTGATGTATGAGCTACGAACGGTCAAGATTTCACTCCAACTAGGTAATAGACTATAATGTAAAAAAAAAACAGTTTGGCACGACCACAGATCAAGTGCAGTCAAGAAAATTACCACCGTAGCTAATATTTTCTCGTTTTTTTGTCGCTTACTTTCGTCGTAGGAGTATAGCTGCCTAACTAGAAAACTCTTTAATATTGTTTAATTATTGAAAATATTGAAAGCGAAAAGCACGTTCAAAAACGTCAAGTCATATGCAAATCTTCAGATTCGCGTGATAAACTGCTTTTTAGAAACAAACCTAGAACATTTGAAACATTGCCGAATAAAATTTTGCTTAGCATATTTTACACCAAGCCTGTAAGTATTGCTATACAAAACATTGGCTACCACATTTGAACTAACATTTGACTGCTCTAGTGACCACTAGATCAAAAAGACAATATATTAAATATCATTGAACCAGAGAGTTTGAATTTACATCCAAATTCTTTCAACTTGGGAGTGTCAGTTACTGCCTTAAGACATGAGTGAACAAACCCATTTAGGGACCTTTCCCCGAGAATCGACTTTCTTGTTCACATCGTGACATTGGCCAATCAGCAATATGCAAAAAGTGACGTAACAATGCTCCCTTTTCGCATCCGCTCAGACACTTTTATCACTCAGACAGATTCTCAAGCGTGTTTGTAAACATTACCTCTTTTTCGCGTTTTTGAACTCTATTCGTTAGTTTTCAGTTGTGTTTCGGAAACTTAAATATAAATCAGATAATTCAATGATCACTCTGTCTTCCCAGAAGTTTTAATTTAATTACAGTAATAAAAAAATTAGTGTAGAAATAGCTGTGATGGGCTGGACTAAAATTCTTCACCGGTACTTTAAAAAAACGATTGTTGCATGCGATGAATCATAATGATGGTTTAAAACACTCGCAAAAGCACTCTTGAAATAGCCTCGAAAATTTCGCAATGGTAAAGTATAGAAATCAAGTTTCGGGGGTCAAAGGTCGGGGAAAGGTCCATTGCCCGCATTTCAATGGAGAAGGTGCTCGTGAAAAAAGCCTGTTGTAACATTATTTGCATTAGCATCAATAATTCCTATGAATTTCTATAGTTATTTATATAAATTAAAACGGTAATAGATTAAAATGATATCCATAATTGGTTGGAAGATGTTTGTTGCACAAAAAGGTTAAAGGTTACGAGAAATTGGTCATTAGGTTCATTAAACTTTTTTTTCGTTATTACCTTAAATTGGTATTTTGATGTTTTTATCAAAACTCCCACTGTGGATCGCCACATATAGAATTTGAGTAAAATGAATTTTGTTCTTTATATTCCAATTTCCAACCAATAATAATCTAGCTAAAATATAAAGAAATGCTCTGAAATGGATGGAGATGATGATTAACTTCGTGGTTTGACTGCGAATAGTAATCGAACCGAATATAATTTGTTCAAATTATTATTATGTGCATTTTCAAAGTGTGAACATGGTATAGAATGCTCTGTAACTTTACTGAGCATAATTTACTGCTGTTTAAACTCATTCTCATCATTTATGAGAATTTTTTCAAAATTTTTAAAATTGACGAATGTTTTGTGATGGAAAGGAAATAACAACAGAAATGAATCATTTAATTCAGTCATTCGAACTTTGATGATTTTTATTATATGATGAGAATGAAGTGGCAGCGAGTGACAAAAATGATCTCAGAAAATAAAAGTTCAATCAGAACATTTCAAATAGAATTTTTCCTTATTTTGTTTTCTTTCCGATTCCTCATCTAAAATTTTAAACTATAACAGTGTTTTTCGATAAAACATGTTTTGATGTTTAAATTTGAAGGACATTATTCCAAATGGTAAACTATACGACGGCATCGTAGACTGCAAAGATTTATCTGATAAACGTTCTATCTAAAAGAAGAAATCCCTTCGACTTAGACGTTTGTAAAAGTACTCGTTGGAGTGAGAAGATTGTGTGTGTGTATAGGCAACGTGAACTGAAATTTACAGCTCCGGAATCTTCGCGTTAATTCAAATTAAACTGATTTTTTAGAAAAAAAAAACAGAAATCACTTCCTGGTTATTTCGATGTTAGTCTAAATGCATATACCAGTAGATATTTTGGACTCCAGGTTATATTTCATAGATTCATATTTAACTGCGATTTTATTTAACAGTGGGTGCCAGACCACTCCTATAGATATCATGTATTTCAACAGAAGATCATAATAATATCACAGTTTGTAACGGAATGTAAACGTATTTTATCGTATTGTTTCTTGAGTTCAGTTCTCAAAGATATTGTCATTTGAGAAATACTCATTAATGAAAAATATTGCAATATGTCCAGATAAACTGATTACAATGGAAAATAATATAGTAGCTAGAAGACCTTAAATTGAATCTGCGCAATATTCAATCACAAATTCTAATAAATTTTAATCAGATTTCATCGCGGCCATAAAAAATAACACATTCGACCTAATTATGTTGGTACCGCAGGTTATACGCAAACAATGCCGTCCAGCAAAAAGATTATGGTCGACTCACATATAGTTACTCCTGACATACAGGCGACCGCTTATACAGGGTTGTTTGAAGTGAATGCGTGGAAAAGAAGTATAAAAAATAAAAAGTTATATAATGTATTTTATAAATATTTTCTAGCAAACAATTTTTAGTTCGTGATCACATTCTTCTTCAACTTTCATCAAATTGCAAGTTCAAAAATTGCAATTGCAAGTCCAAAATAGAAAATAAATTTTTACATTTAAATAAAAATTTTTCCATGTTTACATTGTAATATTGGACACGAAATAAACCGATGTTTTGGTCTGATTCTCACTGTTTTGATGGGGAGATTGTTGTTGTTATTTTAATTTTGCAGATATTAGAGTTATCATTTCCTGTATTTACAGATGTAAGAATTAGCTAGAAGGCCTTTCACTTTATTTTTTTAATTTTTGGTATTCTCATATAGCGACCAAAAAACACATAATGAATTTATCATAGTGTACTGAAAGTGTGATAATGTAATATCATAATGTACTGATGTACAGTCAGCGGGCCGGTCGAAATCTCGTCGCAGGCCGGCCCGCGAGCCGTATGTTGCCCACCCCTGAGGGACCTCACCGTGAAGACGATCTTCGTTCCGCATATGTTTGGGAATTTTTGTTCTAAGACTTCTTGTTCGTATACAATATTGTGCTAAATAGTAAAAAAAACATTCATAACATTAGTATTATTTTCATATTTTGTTTTTTTGTCGTATCATCGTTTGCAATAACTCACCCGATTTTCTTGCAGAAAATATGAAAAGGGCCGGAAAAGGCAAAGGTGAACACGCTCGTAGATTGTTTAGTAATGGTCTGAGTATGTTTATATAAATCTTTTAAAATGTGGGCTTGATATGCATCTGCGTGTTTGAAAACATATAATCAGTTTGCTTCTATTTTGGTGTCTTGGATTCGTAATGTCCTACCGTATATCGGAGAAGTGATATCAGGGGTAAGGGACAACGCGCCACACACTCATTTGCATTTTGATACGCTAGTCGCCGAACGAATCGGTGAAAAAGCAGAGTTTCACGACTAACCCACGTCGTTACAGAGCTTCGAAAACAGTTTTGTATTGCCAGCAATCATATCAATAAAGTTGACATTGACAACTCTCGTGATCTTCTATTACTTACAAACGAGGATGAAAATACTCGATACTGCAACTGGTCATTTTATATGATTATTGATTCAAACAATATATTAACTTATTTGAAGGGCAACATGTTTTATTCTGAAATGACTCGGCCTTAGGGCATCTCTGCTCTGGTTTCTGGCCTTACATCGCATTGCTATACTACTTCCACATACACTTTTGCATAAATGTAAAGCCATACTTGAATTTTTTGGTGTTATACTTTCTTTATGATTATAATTATTTTATAATTATAACTAACAAAGTGCAAATTCCCAGTCAAACTTTTCGCTTACAAAGGCAGAAAAAAACTTTCTCTTTTGTCCTAACCGTGTCAAGCTATACCCTAGCCTTCATGAATAAAGTTGGAAATAACAGAGCCTAGCATGCCGGTTACCTTTGTGATTACTGATTAGTAAACTCTTGGTCTTCAACCGTTTACGTATTCGATGTCTATTTCTGAAGAGAATTTATGTATTTGTGCTTAAGTACAGAATTCAAAGCAATTGGCCACAACGAGCTACTGCAAGATAAACTCCACAGACAGTCCACCGTTTAAAAATCGACACAGACCCAGCTTAATTGCGATGATAAATATAATGTCTAAGCCCTTGCCCAACCTATACTGATTGACGAGGCGGAGTGGAATTTCATGAACCAATCGTTTGAAAATATTTTAATTTTATTTTTCTCAGATAAATTGCGATGGGTTCATTGAGTGTGGAGATTAAATATATACATCAAAATTTAATTTTTTTCCTTTTGTTGAAATTGAACTTGAAAAATACCTTATATTATCATAAAGCTTTTTTCACAGACAAAACCTAGTCACTCACAAGGCCTAGTGCTATCGACAAATAACAACCAAGTCCGTCTAAGTTGTGATTTCGGGACCTAACCTATCTAAAAAAAAACTGGATTGCGCGGCGCTTAGTAAGCTTTGTGTTTCGTGACTACTGTCACATGACCAACGCTTAAAAACAGAGCTGTGTTTTTACTGAAAAATATAGACACAAAACGTCTCTACAAATAAGAAGTTACCTGGCGCAAGCTAAAGGTGCGAGTTGAGATGAGAAGCACGACTCATCTCATTGGCTTGGTCTTGTCTGCACAAGACAATTCATTTTCCTTCTACCGATTACAGCTCGCAAAACGCCATTCCCATATTGGCATCGTCTTGACGTTTATGGACACGGCATTGGAATTTCGTGATTTTAATTAATATCATTCCTGACATCGGAATTAGTAAAAGGGTTTGAATCTTGGGATCCCAAACCCAGCTGGAATAGCTGAAAAAAACTCAAAAACGTTTTGCCATTAGATACACCCACACGCTAAAATTGTTCTGCGGGCCGCACGGATTGTGTCCGCGTGCTAGAGTTTGGACCAGCCTGGTCTACATTATTAAAAAACTCGCGACTTCGCTGACCACTAGATCGTTAAAATGCGATCGCGGAACCGCCACATAGTGCGACATTTTTAATTTTAATGATGTCGCTACACGAAACTTCCGAGTGAATACGAATCAAATGGAGCCCAAAGAAATTTTTGAGATAAATAAAATAAATAGCCTAGTTCTAGCGGCAACAATCTTCAACCAAAACGCAATTGGTCCAATAGTCGAAAAGAAAAGAATTTTTTTGAAACAAAAATGCAACAACAAAGCTAAGAAAACCACTCATAGATCTATTTTGTGTCCAATAAATAAGTTTCAGTGTTTATTTTTAATAAAGAAAGTTAATATGATACTTGAAAAGGAAAAATAAGCGAACAATTTGAAATCTGATTCGTCTGATGAAATTGTAATATTTTGATAAACACCGACGCACTATATTCAAACAAATTCTGCTATCAAAATTTCTGTGGTGCCCCTCTTTGCTTGGTGCCCTAAGCACGTGCTTATAGTGTTTAATTAATGGTTAATCCAGCGCTGACTAATCCAGCGTATATGACTTGCTGATTAACGATCTTAGGAGTAAACGCATAGTCAACTTTACCTCTGTTAAGCTTAATTTCGTTTCAACTTTTCTTCATGATTGCGTGCAATTATTCTTAAGTCAAACATTTTCTATTTCTGTTACTGGTGTCTGTTGTTTGTTTCTTGATGATACGATATCTGTGATTTACTTCTCCAACACCTAACTCCGGCTTATCATGGTTTTTCTGCTTTAGCGGAGTTTATTCTAAATTCAGACAAGTGGTTTGAATAAAAATGCTGAGCTATCTCGCCAGCCTTTTTACAACACCCACGATAAAAGATTAGAGTGGTTGGAGAAAGATTTTCTGAAATACCCGAATGATTTGGAGGAAATAGCATACAGTCGGCCATTGGTGGGAGAACTTAATCGCCAGAAAATGCTGCTCAGTAATGCCACGAGAAATGGCTTGCGAATAGCAATTTCTATGGCTGCGATCATTCGCATTGTTTTGGACAGTGGTGCGAGTTATGTTTTACCACGGCGTATAAACCAAGACCCTCTAGTAGAGTCTAGGGTCTGAGGCATATATTGGTCATCAACGAGATCGAGGTTCTCGTCATGGAAAACCCACCTTAAGTTTGTTCATATCGAACTCCAGATCAATAGCTGTTGTGAAATCGTTCAGTAGTGTGTTCGGTTCTAATGTCGCGATTGAAAATGATTGATAAATTTTCAGTGGCTGACTTCTTTCTGCTTCAAATACATGTTCACAGATTTATATACAAATACTTGTTCATTTTCCCAAATTGTTTCTAAGTTTAGTGGCTGGTGCTTTAGTTTAAACGATAGTTTATGTATCCGAAATTATATTTTTATATGAATATTAATCGATGGTTTATTTGCCAAAAAGCTGTGAAACCTGATTTGAAGTTAGCTATTAATTATTGGCCGGTGGATTTGTCATTTTTTTGTTTTTCTCCCCCAGGCCTGTGTAATTCTTCATATTAGAATCAAATCCTGTTCAGTTTTATGGTATTTCTCATGCTAAAAACACAAAAAAAATAGTTCTGTTGGCTAATTTTTATTGGTATGATATAATGATAAGATTATTTAGAAAAATAATTTTTCAAAGCATTGCGAAGACCGTACGATTTGGGTCTAGTTTCTTTTTAAACACTGTTCAGCAATTCAGTCTTGCAATGGATCTGGGCCCTCATTTGATATAAATCTTCTCACCAGAATAAAGGATTCACTGGGGCTGAAAGGGTCCATGTCAATATTTCCAATAATACGTCGTTCATCTATGGCCCTTTTGCATACCTGAGACCGGAATTCACATTCATGATAAGAAAAGAATCAAATGTTTCAGATGCTGATATAAGACCGCCCTTATTGCGCTCTTGAGAAGCAATCAGGAAGATCACGCCCCGAAGCTTGGTTCTGACACCAAGAAGCACCTTTTCCACCTAGACGCTTCATTCCCCATTTTAGCAATCCCTAAGGTCCCTTTTTTGTCATCTCCAGTTACAGACATGTTAAGGAACGGCTCAGCTCCTTGGGTTACCTGAAGTGCTTCTTTTATTATTTTCGGTGCAGCAGTTTTTATTATGCGTTTTAGATCCAAATGAGATATTTCGGAATTGTTCGAGTATGGCTTTTGCAATTTATCAATGTATTCATCTGACATTTTAATTCTGGATTCTTCCCTGAAAATTTCCATCAAATCCGTCAAAACTTCCGCCCACAGTCTGACAGTGGTGATTTCTGATTTAACCTGGTGTTCAAATCATTCATTGCAATCTGCTGCTTCCTGCAGTCAACACTGCCTAAGTCGACTTCTACTACAGATATGTCCCATTTTTCTTCCATCTCGTCATCAAGCTGTTAAATAACTTAGGTATAAACTCTGGTCTAAAAAAGTACACAAATTAAGCAAAACGAAAATATGATGTAAATGTAATATACCGTGTATGGTTGTGTGTGGGGGTGCGTGTGTGAAATATTAAATTATTTTGGATGAGTGAGCACGTGCCCCTTCGTCTTGGCAAACTCTTCTATCCAATATACATTCTGTACGTTTTAAATCCTATCTACTGTTTTGTTTGCTCTCCTGATTTCATAATCAGTTTTTTTTTATTCATTTGTTTTAACAAATCATTTTATTGGACACGTTTAGTGGCCATTACGATCGTTTCAATATTATGTTGTTGTTGTTCTTGTTCTTTGACACGTTTTTAAAAAATCGCTTTTCTCTTCGAATACTGGACCAATTGCTTTGAAATTTTCAGTGGTTAAAGATTAATTTCTTCGCTAGAAGGCTATTACTTTTATTTATTTCAAAATTTTGCGTGAATTCTATGAAATTTGATATTTCGTCTAAAATTTTGCTGTATTATTTTTTATCCATGGGAACACGGATTTTAGTCAGTGTCATGACTGGCTGTACGTTTTGATTCTGCAAAATTCTTGCTACTGGAAATTCAGAACTTTTTTGAGGGTACCGGTAGCGTCAAAGGTACCGGTAAAGACTGATTCGCTCTGGTCTAACGTGTCCATATATTTGTGCGTAGCTCTCTTGTTGTTATGCTGATGATGAGGTCGAAATAAACTTATTGCTCTCATCAAATCTATTTTAGTATAAAAACGAGTATTTCTAATATAGAAAGCACGTCGTCAATGGACCTTTCCCCGAGCATCGACTTCCTTGTTTACTTGCTAACATTGGCCGATCAGCGAGATGCAAGAAGTGACGTAGCTTAGTGACAGACGAGGCTAAAATTCTTTACCGATACTTTTAAAAAACAGATTGTTGTATGCGATGAATCGCGAAACCACTCCTAAAAAATAAGCTACGAAAATTTTGCAATGGTGAGGAAGAATTTTTCGGGTGTCAAAGGTCGGGGAAAGGTCCATCGGCTCTGACAAACTACCGATAAATGGGGATTCCCCGCTTCCCAAACACGAGTGAGCATTATTTAATACGAGGACAAAAAATGGTTTCGCCAGGCTGATTATAATTGGAGTCAAATGCCAAATTGCCCAACCAAAGAAGAGTGCATAAAGAGGTGGGCTAAACTTTTTCACTCACCAAGGACATGCCAAATTGTAGTCCAGATGGTACCAACAGTTTAAGTACGGTATCATATAGCCTAATTACATTAAGGGATTGATACTGAGGTAGGTCTGTAGGTATTGCAATTTATTGGTTATGAAGGGTGAGAGTAAGGATAAAGGTATTGAGAATATTTTTTCATAGGATCCTGAGATTGAGATTAACACAAAAGATTCATCAGAGTCAAGGAGGTGGTCTTTGGAAGGTTTTTCACATATTTCACGTCATTCTGAATTTACTCAAGCTAGTGCTGTAGTCTTTCTGTTCATCAGATATTAGGTAGGCCTAGCTAGATGGAGAGATTTTAGAGAGAAAACAGTCTGACAGTACCGGTACAGCGATATCTTTCTCACTGTCTCACTGTGTAGACTATCTATCTTTGATGCAAGCTTCCAAACCAGGTGTAATACTGCTTCGTGCTTTCGTGATTAGTCCTGTAGTAGTTTATTGGGAAACTTCAATCCAGTGATTATAAAGACTAAAATTAGCGCAAAGTGAAATTTGCAATGAGAGATGCCAAGGTGAGCTACGCTCTTTGCGCAAAAAAGGAACTACGGGAGACTCTGAGAAGTTTTGCATTTTATCTGATTGGTGTGTTTCTGTTTTTGTCTGCATTTGTAGCAATATTCAATCTACAATCAAGCATCAACATTGAAAATGGATTGGGTGGGTATACTTTGGCAAGCCCTATTCCTGATTGTCTTTAGTCCTGAGATGAATTTGACAATCTTATCCATTTCTCTCAAGTTGTTCTGTGTATATTTTTAGCTCACTCCAGTTATATGGTCTGGAATCACTAATATCTGAATATAGTAACATAATTGATATTCTATGCTTTGATAGATTCTGAGATTGGGTCAGATTTAGCATATCTTAGTATTACCGTATACGAACAGCCTTTGAAGTAGGTGTACGGTATGTACTCGGCTGTGGTACTCATCTCTGTTACCTTTTTCAGGAACAACTGCACTCGGAATTTCTTATTTTATATCTGTTTTTTTTGCCATATTCGGTGCACCGGTTATGATAAATAAATATGGGGCAAAAAGATGTGTTGTTGTTGGTGATACTGCAATGTTTATTTTTCTTCTGGCTAATTTCTATCCAAGTAAGATTTTTTGCCTTACTGTAACTGTAATTTCAATATTATGGCTATAAAACTTTACTTGGAGCTAAATTTAACAATGCCCTATGTGTTTTCATTGTGTATCATCTCTTGGATATGAAAATAAGTTATTTAGAAATATTTATGTATTGGGGAATTAGTAGCCAGGAGGAGCAAATATTACCAAACCTGTTATGGCAATTTTCCAGGCAGAAAATTTTGAATATGGCTGAAAATGTTTTAGACCATCGGTTCTCAACCAGTTGACTATAGAAACATTTTCAGGTTGGCCACAAACCTATCAAAAATTGCTGAGTTGTCAATTGATAAGTTGTTAGTTTTGATTCAATTTTTGTTCATCGAAAGTGGGCCACAAAAGAAAAAAAAGGTTGAGAACCACTGTTTTAGCCACTATATCAAAAGTTTATTTTTGGCTTTATACCAGTTCTTTTGAAAACATGCAGAAATGTGGTGGTTATATCAGATTTTTTCATTACATGAATTAAGCTATGTATTGTTTTTTAGCTCTCATAATATTTGTACTTTTAATGCCCCTTAGTCAATGTGGAATGATATAACTATTAATTTGTGCAATCCTGATTTAACAGCTTATTACACACTCTTACCTGCCGGAATTCTGATGACTGTTTTACAATCTCCTCAATTCCCAAGTCTGTCACTTATGAATACATTATATGCAAAACAGGTTGCAAATCTAGGGAAAAAATCAGAAGATGTGTATATCATTTCATTTTCTGGATATTTTTTTACAGCCTTCCAAGCTTCTCAGGTAACGTTTTTGTATGGTGTAACCAGGTGTACTATTAATCAGGAATAAAAATCCTTTTATTTCTTCTAGTGAGGGATAAAGTTATCCAGCTTTTGGGCGCCGACCCTATGGCTGTTATTATTTATTTTGTCATTTCAGGTATTTGGTAACATTCTTTCATATGTTATCTTATATGGATTTGATCAAAGTGAAAATGCCAATTATTCAAATATGTCACTTGGAAACATATCAGAAGTAGATTACAGTATATGTGGATCTGCAGATTGTCAAAACGAGACTATAGTGAGTGAGAACATCTTGAATTACAAACCTGTGAACAAAATCTCATTATACGTTCTAATAAGTATAGCATTACTACTAGAACTCACAGCAACTCTTGTTCATGCCTTTCTTTTGCCAAATGAAGATGATTTTAAAAATAAGTCCCTACAAATTTCTCAATGGAAGATCAAGGAAACTAGTCCTATAGATGGCTCGCATGAAGATGAAAATGTTATTATGGGCGAAATTATGGAAAAAAAAGATGATATTAATGGTGACATGGATAAAATATGTGGTATGGATATATTCAAAATATTTTGCTATTTATGTGTTGTGAATAAAACTGACCGAACTATAGCAAGCACTGTAATACATCTTTGGTGAGATAGATAAGCTTGCGATGAAAACTCTCTATGGGTGACCTGTAATGCTAATTGGTCTGCATGCCATGTATAAACAGTCTTGGGAATACATTGAAATTGCAGAGGGGTTAGAAGGTTATAGCAGAGATACAAAAGTATGCAGCTTTTCAATTTTGCATATATTTTTTTTTGTATGCCTAATTGGCCTCAACAAATTTCTTCTGTTTTGGCAATACAAGTTTAGCTCTTTATTTTGAAAAAATTACGTAATAGGTTTAGGGTTGTTATCTCAAGCAATGGCCTGGTCCAGACCTGTCCAACAAGGTTATCATGTGTGTGTGTGTGGCTTTCACAAACATAATTCAAACAACTGTGAGTGCATTCTTTGTTTATTGGTGTTTCAGAAGTCTGTGATTTACTATACCTGAATTCTTCTTTTGTAACCATAATCTTATCTCATTTGATATGGAACTATTCATTTATTCTTTACAGAAACTAAATCTTGTATTGATCATGAGGAAGAAACTGCTTTCTTGGGGTTGACTGAAAAAAAAACTGAGGTTAGAATTATTTTCCGTTTCACATCTATGTACAGTATTTTGATCAAATTTGCACATATTACCAGACTAAAGTGTTCATATTTTCAGAGGACAACTACGGGAATATGTGATGTAGCTGTTAATACTGCACAATCATTGATAAAGCATGTTGCAGACAAGACGTTCTTGTTACTTATTCCTATTACACTATACAATGGATTATTAATGGCATTTGTTTTCAGTGAATTGACAAGAGCATATACCTCATGTTCATTAGGTGTACAATGGGTAGGTTTAAAATTGAAACAATATTTATTTATAGATTCAAATTAATTTGTTGTTAATTTATGACTGTCATTGCTTGGAGGTGTTCGCAGCAATTTTAAGAATTTACATGCAGTCACATTCAATATGAGATAGATATGTGCTATCGTAAACTTAGGACTATGGGAGGTGAAATCATAACATCTATTTTAATGAAATAAATAATTTAAATTCTTTCATTTATTTTTGTCAGGTAGGAATATGTATGGCCATATATGGTCTCTCTGATGCAGTGTTATCATGGATGGTTGGAAAATATGGTAGAAAATTTGGTCGAATACAGTGTTATTTATTCGCATTAATCATTGAATGTGGAAATTATATTTATTGCATTTTTTGGACAGTTGGATCTCATACATTAATTTCAATATTTGCACTTTTCTTCATGTTTGGATTCTCAGATGGAATATTCCAGACAATTATAAATGGTAGGTTCCAATTCCTAAATAATTATGTGGCTGTCCACCAATAATTCTGATATATATTTTCACATACCCTCCCATTTTTGTCTCAATAAGTTATGGACATTAATTGATCTTTATATTATGTATTAGTATAAATAATATAGTCTATATTACTGAATTCATAAAACGCAAAGATAATGAAATATTGTTGTTCACTTGTTACAGAGCGTATGCATCCAGTCATGAAAATAATATACTCGGTCATCTCTCCTGTCAGGGTCCCATGACTACTTAAAATCATTTCAGTGTGATATTAGCCATGCAATTAATATAATATTTGGACCTCCAAGTCTCGATTCAGTAATATAACTCAAAAATATGGATGATTTACAGCCACTGTCACCTGACTGTAATTATTATTCCAAGTCCATTAACATTTATAAAGCACTTTACATGAAAAGAGATTTTTCATAATTGAATAATATTCCAACAAGAAGAATTTTGTTCTGATTTGTAAAGATGTTGCATAACAAAAATTCTCACTTACCGTAACTAACTGATAATAGCGAGCATTTGATTGGTTAATAGGGCAGTTACCTAGATTCATTTTATTTTAATTCCTGTGTCCCTTTCACATGAAATTTTTCAGCTACTTTTTGTCCCACCTCTCAATCTCATATGTTGGTTTGAAAAGTAAATGTTTTGTCCTCAGTTTTATTTTCAATACTCAATAATTTTTGTAGCGAATTAATGTTTGTGATGTGCATATGGTGAAAAAGTGTTGATTTGCCATTGACGGCATGCTAGTCCTATTTGTATGTTATGATTTTGCTGATGTTACAAGCTTGCATCACATGTTCAAGTATATTTCGCCACTGACCAATATTTTGGAGGAAAAAATTGCAGGTATATGTTCGACAATCAATCAGCGCTACATCAATATTTTTCATGTTTGAGGGGAGTCATACCTCACTCTTCTGCTTATTGTGCATCTACAATTTGCAAATTCCATTTGTGTTAAACAGTTTGATGATTGAAGCATTTATAAAAATTATTTTGTCATTGTCAACAATATTTCACTTTTAATTCAGTGACCCACCTCGATTTTGCTGAAGACAAGAAGTCTGCTTCATCTGCCTGGAATGTGTTGATTGTTATTGGAAATGCTTTGGGGTTTATTACCAGCACTGTGTTTTGTGTCAGAACAAGAATTTATATCAATTTAGGTTTCCTAATAGTTGGATTCGTACTATTGGGTAGGTAATATTGACATTCATTTATGATTTAATCATGGGTAGAAAACCTTGAAGTAGAAAAAATTTGAACATTAAAATGACTATTGACTTCTTAACCACACACACACACGCTGCATAGTCCGTATTGGCAACTTCGTGCTAAGCGTTAGGGATACGCTCCCTATCGTACCTCTGATTACTCTGCTAGGGTAAGCGGATTCGAATTCCGGGGTGAGGGGGAAATTATGTTAGAGGAGATTACTGGACTCATTGTCACTGTTCAGTTAATGCTTCCTGCATTGTCATGTGTCCATTCTTCTGAAATAAATAACTGGCTAACTAATTTCATACACATGCTTTAGTTATTTCAGATATTATTCATCGGAATCGTAAGAAGATGAACAGTGAATGCAGATAAAATAAGGGTTGAGCTGCCAATCATCAGATGCTGTTTTCTATTGTACACCTCAAATCTTCGTTTTTGTTCAGTTGGCGGATTTACTAATCTCAGGATTAGGCTTGCACGTAATTTACGGATTTACGGAATTATTTCGAGTTACGGAATCGAAGTTACGAATTACGTAAAGTCATAATTATTGGTCGAGCGCTTTCGCGATTGAAACGAGCTCTCTTCAGAGCAGTCAATTCCGTCGATTGTAAAAGATTAAAGTTTAGGTAAAAGAAGTTAGAGTTCCGGTATTCGCAGACGTTTTTCTCTCTCGTGTTAGGCAGATGGGGAAGGCATAACGCGTCATTTACTAACCTATTATCAACTTACCTAGGATGGCCAATGTACATATTAACCGTAGATAAGGAATAGAATTGTGTTGAGACCGATGGACGTCAACACACCTGGTTTCAACTTCTTCGGGTGAAATGACTAAAGAATGTAAGAGATCAACTTATAAAACATGGTCTATTTGTAAATGCCGTGATAATTAATGTCGCGCTTATCAAACATCAATATAACGACTGAAGAGAAATTGCGTAATGAACCAACGCAACTTAGTCTTTTCGGCATCGGTAAAGCGATTGAGACGGCAGAGAAACAACAATACGACGGGATTTCCCGTGTTTATTCTGCGCGAGATCCATTTTCTATTACAAAATCTTGATGTTCTGTTCGAATCTATCCGGAAGCCTGACTTTGTTACAAGTGATGAACTTCTGATCTTGATCTTCTGATTTTATCGTTATATATCTGTCCGGACTTGGCTTTGCTCAATATGTTTTTCACAATGCCTCGCAATATGTCGGCCAAATATGATTACCTGTCTTTACCAAATGCGGCAACTTATTTTGATTTATCGTCGACTCGAATACCACCGGCACTCGACCAAACTTGTGGCAATCTTGGCAAATAGGATTGTCGACTTGAGTTAGAAAAATAAATTAATATTTTCATGAGTGCAAAATAAATGTCACAAAATGCATTGTTTTGCGATATAACTTTGTATTTTCGGAGAAGGCATGTCATATAAGTACGGTATTTTAAATAATGCGCAAATAATGTTATAACTTTTAGGCCGCGAAATGATTTAATGTAAAATGAAGCATAGAATTCGGAATATCGTCAATAAGTCGGCATCAATAATTATTATAAAATGCTAACTAAGTAGTAAAGTCGGATATTGTGAAAAACGGTGAAATAACAAGTCTTCGTCGCGAGGCAAGCGAAAGTATAATCAAACGAGAGAATACGCTTGTAGTTGATTAATAAATTAGCAACCCGGAATTTTTATTTAATACGAAAGTCGTATTAATGCGTTAATACGATTTAAAAAAGTGAACTATCGTTTCTTAAATATATTACCAGTGTTGGTAATGATAAAATTGATCGCATAAAATTTGGTGATAAAGTGGAAAAAAAAATCAAAGCTAATACAAAAGATAAAAATCAGAATAAAATTATTTTGAATTCACTCCTTGATATTTGTCTTTAACATCTGTCGCCGGCGTGTAGTACTGCCGGGAATATGAAAACCAAACTTCAATGTCCCATTCGGAATAGAAGTGGATTAAATTGGTTGTTATGATAGGTTTAAATGTGTGAAAAAAATATCGCAATTACGGGGTCATTACGTAATCGATTTGGCCGTAATTACGGAATTGATTTTTGTCAATTACGTGCAAGCCTACTCAGGATAGATGAATATGCAATACACGCTGGTTTCCGAATTTTTTCGGCAGTTTTATCCTTCTCATAAAATGTTGCTTTTCTATATTTTCGAAAATGTGATTCTTTTGATAAAAAATAATTTCTCAATTTATGCAAACCCAGTCGCTAATTCCGACGTTAAATTTCACATTGTGTTGTTGTGCCTTCAAATATTCTAGTTATTCGTTTTATAACAGCTCTTTGCTTTCGGTCATGCTCTATGGTCTGTCTGGAGTATACAATATGGCTTTTTATGCAAATTTCAATTAATATTCAACTAAAAGTGAAAATAAATAGTTCAGAAGATTCTTTTTCAGTTTATTAAATTTACACGAGTCATTTGATTAATAAGATAAGGTAATTAAATTGACCATGGGTGCCCTTCAAAAGTTGCGATGGCTTTCTACTTCTGGCGTTCTTCCTCCCGATTTTACGTTTCAATTTCTCTTTCATTAACATAAACAACAGTATAGCATCATAAAATGTCCGTTCTATTTATTATTCGTCCATATATGAAACGAGCTGATATATATCCTAATTCATTCTGATTAATTATCGACCATGATTATTCTGTAAAAGCGCAAAGTAAATGATGAAAATATAATGTATCAAATTACTGACAGTTTGGTAAAAGAGTTTGTAGGTTATCATGCGGATTGCTGGTCATTCGTCTCTGTGCTCTGTTCGGTGGTGTTAGCTTCTGGTTCAGGAGTCTCAGCTGGTGCTTCAGATTGTTTCCTAGCTGCAAGCGCTCCTTGATACATTTCCTTAAAAACGTCTTTTGGCTCTTGGATACATTTAGCAAAGCAAGGAAGCACTTTCATTTCTTTCTCAAACCATCTCGAAATGTTCGGGTAATCGCTCCAACCTTTGAACTCGACGTACGACAAGACGTACATTGAATTTAAAGCCGAAAAATCTGTAAGTTTTGAAAAGATTCTAGTAGCTGAAAATCATCAGTATTACTTTTTAATTGTAAAAACGGCGAATCTAATATGTATATAGAAAAGATAATTTTGAGAAATCCCCAATAAATGATGATAAAATGGAAATTTGAGTAAGCGAGCCTGTATGTAAACTCAACAATACAAACAAAAAGATAAACATAAGAACGAGGCTTGGCCAAACAATGAATTTACTATAAATTTGCGAATCTCAAGGTTGTAATGCAATAACGTTAAAAATATTCGAAGGCGAAATTTGTGAATAACAACTACCCTATCATGAACATTATACTAAGTTCGCGCCCCGTTGCTAAAATTTACTCGACAATGAGTAAGGTTGTTGAATTCGAAGTATGGACTTATAGTACAAATAGATGTTTGAATTTTTTATTTTTTTTTATTAAATAGAGAAATAAAAAGCACTTCGTAAAATATGTATATATAGTGTATACCAACCTGCAATTGTCAGGTGATCTCCTGCCATAAACTTATGTTTGCTGAGAGCGTATTCGTACATTTTTAAACCAGCCTTGAGATCATCAATCTTATCTTCTGCAATTCCCTCTCCCTTGAACACACCTCCGATGTTCTAAACAAATATTGGAGTTTTTTACTTTTACGAACGCAATCGGTGACTTTTAACTACATAAGCTTTCGTGGTATTGTATCGTAATTGTTTCACCAAAGGTTTGTATACTCACAAGGTATGGAAGAAGCCTTCCCTCGTAGATGGAAGAATCAGTGTACAACGCCATATCTACAATTGCTTTCGATTTTGCGTCGGTTGGGTACAGGCTGGATTTTTTACATTGTGCTCCATATTGATTGATCAACCAGGCGGCCATTGCTCGACTAATAAAATAGGTTTTATGATAATTAATTTCAAACTTTTGAAACCTGTGCAAACTCCATAATATCATCAGTTAACAGCCCGCAGTCGATTGCGCTGTTGGATTGGATTCACATGAGTATGGAACTAGCATTAAAGTGGACAGGTAGAAACTAGGACGAGGTCCTTTCGAATTGAATAGTAAATGAATTATTCCAATCGATTGAGACGAAAATTACGAATCATCGTTCTCTTTTTGTTTGGCCACCAAAAGTCAAAACGAATCCAACAATTTTTTTTATTAAAGCCCTATTTTTGAAATGCAATTCTGGGATGTGAATCCTTTCTTCCGGATATAGTTACTGATGAAACTTTCTTCACATTCAGTGAACTACGCCCTTGCATTTATTTCAATATCTTCCAAGTATTCGAATCTGAAATCATCCGCTACTCTAAAATGCCCAAGCCATACTTGTAACAAAGCCAGGCTTCCGGATAGATTCGAAAAATGGCATGCGAATCTTAGCTTATAATCTCACCTCTCCCACATAGGAAACCCATCATCCACGATAGCGGGTACTTGCGCTAGAGGGTTGATTTTCAGATACTCTGGTTTTTTATGTTCGTCAGTGAAAAGATCCACCACATGAGGCTCATAATCCAATCCCATATGCTCCAAAATCATCCAAATAGCCTTAGATGGTGGACTGTTCGGGTGATAGTAAAATTGAACTGGCATGGTGACTGGTAGTTTACTAAATTTACTGACAACTGTAAATGTTTGACTAGAATAAAAAAAAGAAATATCAGGAAGTAATGAAATAGTTGTTAGCCGGAAAACAGCGGCAACTTGATTGTTGTGTTACAATTATAAAAAAATATCAGCAAATAATATTGTTTGTTATTACTATATTATGTGATAACATAACTCTAAATTGTTTTTATTATTAATTAATTTTAAGGATCAATATAAATCTATAATCTTCGTTCATGGTAGATTTAAATCTCTCTCTCAAGTTGTATTGTGCTTTTCAGGAATGTTAGGACAGATACTGGTCCGTAGGTAGTATAATGTGAATAATTCCTTTTTTGTTTATAATCAAATATATATAATCAATTTTTCGATACTTTTACAAGTTTTATTTATACTATCAAATCATAATTTAAGAATGACGTTGAAATTCAATAGCTAATACTTCTTTACAAGTATCGTGCAATAATTGATTAAGAAGTATTCATAAACGTGCGCTATTTTTTTCGAATCGTTCATACTCGCTTCGCACATAACTGTAGACATTAAGTATGACCTTTGGAATTGTAATTAACTGTTCGGTATTAACAACTGACTTCTGAATAGATCAATATGCTTATATTTATCCAAATGTTAAAGCATTTGTTTCTGTCAAGAATATATAATATCGATAATAATACATATATATATATCAGAAAGCTGCCTCATCTGAATTATATTTTACACGACAGACCGCGACAAATGTCGGGATTCCAAACATACATATATTTTCGCAAGTCATCATTAAACAATTCATGTTTTTAGCCATGTTGGTTATCTGGTTAGATTCACTATTTTAATACCGCTATAATATTTAATTTTATTACCGTTCGTTTCCATTTTTAACCCAAATCGCTTTACCCAGGGTAAAAGAAATTCGCAATTCCCAACCAGAATTATTCCTGTTTTTTTTTAACAATTTTTCCTACATCTGTCTTTTACAACTCTGTGCTTGCGTGAAACACTTATAAAAACTCGAATTAAAAATCATTGATATTGATATATTTTACGCGGGGTCAGTTAGTATGCGCCATGAGATACATTTGAGAATTAAATGGCGTCATAATTGTTTTTTTAAAGTATTCCTGCACAAGAGTGTAATTAAATCTGCGGTGGCAAAGCTAAGAAAATCTCTAATCTATTCAATGCCTATTGCTCCTAAGCTTCATATGATTTCTTAGCTTCGGATAATGATGATAATATACATTACAATTGCTCCGTTGCTAAGTTATCTATCTATTAAAAGATTTATCAAATATTGGTTAATACCATGGAAACCTTTCATAACCTCGTCTTCAATAGTTTCAAACAGACAGACCCATTGAAGCGAAAAAATCATTTTCAGTCAAGCATGCTTGGCCCAACCGTGTGAATATTTTATCAAACACGTTTCAATAGCAACAGCAAACAGAACAAAGGTGTGACATAGTCTTGACACAATGGTCGAAAAATATTTACCGTGGAAAGAGAAAAGACGGACGATGACACATCAAAATCTGTCAATGATCATCTACCGATTGTCCGAAAGGCGAACAGAATTGATTGATTATAGTCATTTTTATTCAAAAACAAATTCCTTCAAGTGGAATGTGATTATAATTTTTTAAAAAAGCATTCGCGTGATTGAAAAACAAGATGGCAGTCACGAAAATCCGAAACAGAATGCCATAATAGCGTAGCAGCGAAGCGCTAATATGATATTTCAACTTTCCAGACCTAATTTTATATGGATGACCAGACATGAATAAAACCTTTTCAACTCCACATTGGGACGGTTCAAAGTCAAAACTACCTAAAAACATTAATCATTCTCAACAGACAAAGAATACTTTCACACGCGAGAGTTTAGTGGGGGTCAGCTCTTTGATTTCATCTTGAATGTCTTAAAAAAGTTGTATATAAAACTGAAATTATTCACGAATCTCGGACTGCCCTGTTAACTCTCCACAGTTGTTGGATATAGCAGGAGTGGCCAACACGTCGATCGCCACGTCTTGAATGATCGGTCGCATCTGATGTTGAGAAAATTTGATAACATATCTTAAAAAATTGCCTTGAACCAGTTTCATGCAGCGCATGTTGCGTGTTTTGAAACAGTAGTGCAAACGCGCAAAATACGATATACACTAAAGCTGAGATCTGAAGCCCGGGCCCGAGCCGAAATTCGGGCCTGAAATGTCAATCATTACGTTCGGGTCGGGTCGGGCCGGGCTTCTCTATCGCTGCCTTTTTTTAAAAATAAATATATATATGTTTTTTTATAAAACTTTTTTTTTTTATACTAAAACTATGTGTGAATACTAAACTAAGGAATACTTATTATAAAATAAATAATTTGGATAAAACAGAGAAGGAGCTGTATTTGCTATTTAACTACTAAACACGAGCCGCAGAGTCAGGGCATGCTCTGTGCGTACGTGAACTCTGCCCTTTTAATAATCTTTCCCATTCGCAATTCCGCATGATTGTGACCTGGTATCCCCGATATGGAGCAGCAATAAGTGAAGGATAAACTAAATACAAGACTAAACTGAAAAGGAAAATACACATCAGTATGAGTAAGGTGTGGATAACCTTCAAACTGACTGTTGAAAATGCTGCAGAAACTTACGTTGGCTTCGCTGATCTAGTTTATGTAGATTTATTGTAGGCTATTTCTGTCTTCTTGCTCTTCGATTATTTCATTAGATTTTCCCTTTTCAGACTAAATTGAAGATAGAAAAAATTGAAGCTTTCATTTTAAATTTTGTTTAAAAAAAACTATAAACAGAAGTTGCCTCATCAACACGACACATACTGTACTAAATTCTTGCAATGACAATTCAAAGAACTCCTCAAATAAAATATGAAATTTTGGACCTGCAAATCCAGTTAATTAGTCGGGCTCGGTCGGGTTTGATATACCCACGGGCCTGGGTCGGGCCGGGCTGGAATTTTTTGGCCCGATCTTACCTCTAATATACACATATAGTACTTAAGTCCTGGCAAGGCCGATGGAACATGTTATTACCTAACAAAAGAAAGTTTTACCGCTGCCGATATTAAAAAATGAACTTGTCGAATATCTTGCGCCTTGACTGACATACGATCGTACAACAACTTTTGCACTCTATGTGAAAGTAATTGTCTCACTCTGAGAGTAGTGTGATGAATTTCGCAACGGTCTACTTCCAAGTGAGCGAAGAGTTGGACTCGGAAGAAATTGAGAAGTTTGAGCAGTCATGTATCTTTTATGATTTTTATTTTTCGCTATTTAGATAATACATGGATACTAATTACTAAGCAAGATTTTTTGAGGACTTCAACACTTGCGACTTAAGATCAGGCTGGCGTGGAATCAGAATTGTATGATTCCAATAAATTACAATTCAATCGGTTCAATTACATAATCGAACTAACAAAGTAAATGGAAGATAACAAAAAGTTCATAAAGATTGCGCCGAAAGAACTGAGCTTATTGGCAGCGGCCGGAATATTTGTATACGTGTGTGCAGTTATCTGTATATACAGTATTCATTTGTTTTTGTGCATGACCTTATCACAGATCAGTCGATCACAAGCTATTTTGACGATTTTAATCGATCGCAGTCGCAAGTAGGTTGACCACCAATGATATATTATATAGTATAATAGGTGATTACGTACAAGCGTGCAAAGCTGGCTGGACACTGCGTATATTATCGGTATCGAAATTAAAGATGTACCGGTACCATTTTTTTCGCCGATACGAACGAAAAATGCCGATACCGATATTATGTAATTATTTATAATCCGGATTGTACGGGACGGAATCTCGGCGTTCGCTTAGAAAACTCATAGCGATTTTGCTACTATAGATAAGAAAATAAATGTTTACTTGTCTCATTAAACAAATACATTGAGTTGCGTGCACATGATTTTATTTCAATATAATTTGATCTTTTGTATTTTACGCATCGAAAATCCACCAATATTCTATCGGTATGTTTTTTCATAATTGCTCTGTATAATTCAAAATGTTAATATAAAAATTCAGTAGCAAAAATAGCTAGTTGAGATATTTTGGCTGATAAATAGCTAAAAACAGGTAAAAATTTTGTTTCCGTTCCTATGTGCGAGGGTGACGACGTGCTTGGCTCAAAGTTAACGAAGCATATACCGATTTCATCAAGCGGAAATAATTTCAACACCCGTCTACAACTTTTAAAACATTTTGGATCAGATCAAAGGGGGTGAAAACACCGGTCTTCATATATCCCAGTGTTTCCTAACCTGGGTTCGATCGAACCCCTGGGGTTCGGTGGAGCTGCTCTAAGGGTTCGACGAAAGTCATCTGAAAAATTAGTAACTTCACAGCAGATATTCGAACTTCAACTCATAAAATATCTCAGCTATGTGTAGTTTCGCTAGGGTTGCTTTATTTCAAAGGACAATCCTTTATTTGAGATTTTTGTCCTTGTCCTTTTTAACATGACAATTGTCCTTTATTTTTTCCAACGTCGTTTTGCCTGTGTTTGATATTGTTTCGTTCTTAAATCGCCTCCGTTTATGTATTTGCAAGCTTTTAATTATTCTTTTTCATTTCGCTTTGGTACGGCTCAAATAGCCAAAGAAATACCAATTTTATTAACAATTTCAAATATTCTACATTGATTTTCCGAAGATGGAAATAGTGGCAACACTCCAAGATTTGAGTGAATTCCAGTTCAATAACTGAAAATTCTACGTATAATTGGTCTCTAAGATTTTAAAATATTTCTCAACTCTGCGATAACGTATTTGGAAAAAAAATTGACTTTGGACTTTGATGAAAATTCAACATTTGGAAAATTATATCTTTTGGATAATCTTTCTCCAAAATATCAGACACTTGTAAAAATTGTAGATCATTTGAAGCTAAAAGACAGACTTAATATGAATATGTTTGACCTATTTGATGAAGTTGCACTCATTCAAATAAAATTTGGCACGATTCAAAGCACTAAACTGTTCACAGAATGCAGTTTTATTGCGGCAATGTTAAATAAACATTAAATGAAAAACACATGAAGATTTTTTAATATATCCCTTTAGCTTGTATATAGTTTGTATTTCATTGTTTTATATTGTTCTTTCCTGCAAGTTACAAAATAAATGATGACGGTAATCTATGTCCTTTATTGAGACTTTTCATAGTTGACAACCCTAAGTTTCGCACAGATATATATAGGTTTCTGTGGACCTGACAATGATATTTCTCAGTACAAATATTTCATCGGAAATGTTGCACGTTTGGGCGCACTTATTTTGGCGTCCAGTCTCCTGCTGTCGACGCCATTGTGACACAGCAATGGTTATTTTGACAGAGTGTATTGATGGTTGACCACAATGATGCTGGTGGTTGCTGGTTTGTCCGAAAAAACTCCAAGCATTTCCATTCCGAGGCGATTTTTGAGAAATATGTTAATTAAAAAAGACGCTTAGTCGAATGACTAGTAAATAGTTAAAAAGTTATGTTCCCCCATATAGAGTTTTGATGGCGCCCCTGGTTTTAACCGTTCAAAACGTCGGGGTTAGACGGAAGCTTGCAGAATAACGTGGGGGTTCGACACGTTAGCAAAGGTTAAAAACCACTGATTTAGCCGATATCATTACAAATACCGAAAAAATGACCGATATCAATACATCTCTAATCGAAATATCGACAATCTGAAATATATATATATATATATAAGGCGTTTTTCGTCGGTATCGGATCGGTGTCGACGAAAAGGTGTTATCGGTAATAAGTGTTTGACTTTGACGTGTTGGAAGGCAGTGCTGGCACAATCAATCCCTTCTCGAATCCATCACTCAGATAGTTGAGTTGTCATACACAACAAGAAACATTTTTCATCAATAGCTTATCGTAAGGACAAGAGTCATATGTCTGATTTGCATTTTAAAAATATGGCTTCGATAAAAAAATTGAATGACTCAGGATTCGAAATTTCTGTCTGAACGATTCGAATACTGGTAAGTGTTCAAAATAGAGTTTTATAGGAATGTGGCTATAGTATAGACCAGACATGGGCAAAGTATGGCCCGCGGGCCAAATCCGACCCGCTAGGTAATTCAATCTGGCCCGCCTGATGCTGCCATAACCAAACTGAAACCAAATTTTGATGTTTCAGATAATAATATTAGCTCAAGGAATTTGTTGAGATTGCGGGTAAATTTAGATTTGGCACGAGGTTTATAGTTTCCCACTGTTGCTTTTGTAACACTGTGAACATTGTTCATCAAATCATTCATACCTTAAAACTCTTTACATCATACTTGCATGGCCCGCCAGTCTAGGTGGGCAAAACTTTTGGCCCATGATCTGAAAACCGTGCCCACCCCTGGTATAGACTATAGATAGACGATAATTTTCGAATCAGTTTCTGACTCACACAGCATATGGGAACGTGGGCGATAAGAGAAATAAACAAATAGGCAACAGTATAGCTACTGAAATACCATGCCCAGTTGACGAACACAAAGTAACTCAGTTATATCAATAGGGCGGACGCAATCTCTTCCTCCTGCTTTATGGTGTACACCTATACAGTATTAAAGTTTAACATATGAGCACCAGTAACACCGAACATCTGACTCTTCACTGCAATATCTCTAATCAAAGGACAAATTAATATTACGTTTTATTGCAATACAGCAACTCAGCTCTTGAATACCGACAAGTGGAGTTAACGCATAAGTTTTGGGACAAGCTGCTTCTTTTTTAAAAACATTCAATAATAACGTAGGGCGAAAACTTTATCATATTCGGTACACGACCCCAGTACATCGAAGTAACACACCCTTCAAGGTTTTTCATACACCCTGGGTGTAGGCTACTATATACACCCGGTTGAAGAGCACTGATCTATCGCCCAATCCCACTGTTAGCAAAAGGAAAAGCAACGCTGCCCGACGTTGTGACTTTGTTATCGGCTCTCGGTTCGTTCTAATTTTACTATGACTCGTGAATTCCATTCCAGGTATAGGATTTACATATTTATCCCAGGGAAGGAAATCATATGAAGAACCACGCACTATGGTCCTGTTAACTGTCCGTGTCAGGTTTCGGGATTAGTTTTTCTTGCATGATAAAAATAAAATATCTGAATCTGTTTCAGATGTAGGCCGTAAGCCTATTCTTTTTTAGATGTGTTGTGTACCATTATACCCAGGCTTGTCCATGGGACATACTTTTCTGTCCCATCACATGGATCCCAGCCTGGGGATTGTGCATGGGACATATTTTCTTGCTCAATAACAAGCAATTTATGCCTGTCCATCCCATTCCCATAGGCAAGCCTAACTATACCGACCAATGTTGCTTTCGAAATTTCTATTTGCTTTGCTCACAGTGATTTCCCTACACCCCCCCTATAGGGGGTGAACACCCCCCCCCCTAAAATTTCAAACACCCCCCCTAATTTTGGGGTGCGATTCCACACTGAGGGGTTCTAAACCGCAGTCTGCGGGCCAATTACGGCCCGCGTGACGATTTAAAAAGGGGCCCGCCGAACTTGAGTGAATTAAGTTGTAGATACCGTCTATTGTTACATCATTATCACAGTTTAAGCACGTTTATTTCGTAACAATTGAATTATTCCGGTATCTTATGTATACGTATGGGTATTAGGATTACACACTGCAGTATTTTAGATATCAGCCGTATATTAAAAATGCTTAAAGATGTCACAAAACGAAAACTAGGCACTGAAAACAAACGTTTTTTAGATGAATGACAGCGTTTTTATTTCTTTATTGAAAAGAATCAAACTTCAGCGATTTGTCTTCTTACCAACAAAATATTTCAGTTTTGAAGGAATACAACATTATGATCAGTTGACGAGCTTATTTCAAAATTTAATTCATACAAAAGTCAAATAAACATGTTCAAAAAAATTAGAATTGTGTAACAAAACAAGCCATAAGTAGCCATTCATACAATGCCAGATGAGCAAGTAACTTCATTAGTTACTATCAGTTGCAAATTACTTGTTGAAACGTAGTAGTATATATTTACGGTTGAAAGCCGTGCTTGTTATCTATTCCCCGGGAATTCTATCAGCTAAATGTTATATTTATTCATTTCATTACATAACAAACTGCGATGCTAGGTGTATCTAAAATAAAGATTAGAACCTATTTTGGTGCCTATTTCTCAAAATTTTCTCAGGGCGCTTAAGCGCGCCCTGAACCCCACCCGTGTCGTCCCGCACTTTTCCTCGCTCCCCTTTTCTGGCTCTACAATTTCATTCTGTTGTGGATTTGGCTCGCGTCAATCAAGTTGGGGGCCCCCCATGTACATCGTTTCTTAAATACATACCATTTTTTTAATAATACAAATAGCCTAGTTTTATCTCTAATAGCAAATTATTTACCACCCCCTAAATTTTGAAACACCCCCCTAAAAAGCAAAGCTGGGGAACATACTGTTTGCTCATATTGCTGATTGAGCGATGGAACGCTCTGTGTTCGCTTAAAGCAAGGTAGCCTACTTGTACGCAGGCTTATATGTGATTTGGATAGACCTTGAATTTGTACAAGCTGAAATCCAAATCCTACAGTTTATGTTTAAAAAGTCGCATAGCTGGGTAAAAATACATAATGTTTTTGCTCTTGCCCATGCGTAGATCTTTCGCCTTTTGCTGTGAAGCTGAGCAATAGTCGTAGTCTCTGCTCTTGCCTTTCCCGCATAGGTAAACTAAATGTTTTGTGTAGCCCGGCGAGATGTCTGAAGTTGGATATATGGCTCACCGAAAAAAAATGTTGTACACCCCTGACCTAAACTTTTTATTTGTGATTTTGTAGTGTGAATTTTTTGTGACTGAAATTTGTAGTTTTCTGTGACATCTGGTAGATCAATTTCTGCGGTGGCGTACTTCATAAATGCAGTTATTAGGTTTGATTAGTTAAACATAATCAAATTGGTCTTCGGAAAAAAGAAAGAAAACCCGGATTCGTGCGTTTAGACATATGCACCGAGATCTGTGAGGGAGAGTCATGAAATTCTTGTATTTTGTTCTTGAACCCAAACTATAACAATCCAAGCCGGTGTGGCGGGATTATTATATGAGGAAGCCTTCGTATTACTTTGTTATTGGTTTTACCACTGGGAAAGCTTCCAAGAAGTGATTCCCTGCCATTTCTAGGGGCCCCCGTGCGACCATGGAACGAAGCCATTCATTCAGGCAGGAATTAACTATTGCCGATTAAAATAAATACGGCTCTAAATGTGAAAACTGCCTCGTTTACATCGTAGGAATTTCACGAAAGTCTAAAAATTTGGATCAGGCCAGTTATGAAGCTAGTAGAGCGTGCTTAACCTATGGAGCCAAGTTCAGTGAGATGGCAACGTAAGCACGTGACTGAAATTTTTTTTTTGCAAATACTGCCGTACATTTCATTATGGTTCGCCGCTGCGTAAGTACAGTTCATCCTAGATCATTCTACAGTTCTATATCCTGACTTAACGCATGAAAAGTAACATTTAAAATGGTCAGTCAGGCAAAAGTAGCAACACACGACATAGTCAACCAATTGAGCAATACCGGTACTAACTAGTAACTAACATATATACTCCAATAACGTAATTAGACGTTAACAAGTGAAGGACAAACGACTTCGATTTGTCTAAGCATGATTTAAGTTTATAAGCAAGCTGTTTGCGACACTCGTTCTCACCTAATACCACTACATTTCATTGCCGTCTACCGTTGCATTTCACCAGTTTCCATTGAATCAAGCTGACCGAACAAAATCGATATAATGCGGGTTTGCAATAAGGCCGTATTCACTAATTATAGCATTACGATCTCCATACGTAGGCGGGAAATCGCGGTACAGTCCCGTTTAATTCAAAAACTGGAACAGAGCTATTAGTACTGTAATCTGGCCCGTGGAACGAGGAAAGTTACAATTGATGTCGGGTTGATACATATTTTAGGTCCCACTTCCTGGGTAAAGTCCATGCATCTGAAAACAAGTAACTGGCTAACTAATCCCATACTAACATCGACTAGTAACCGGACGAAGGCCTTGCCAAGCCGTCTCATTGCATTTTCTCTCCACCGGGAAAAATACTAATCCTAAAGAAAAATATACACTCCAGCTCTACATTTCACAAACTTTGGCGAAAGCAAAACTTCTTTGATAGAAAGTTAGAAAGACTGGGTGTCTTTTAGTTTCTGTGGAAGACCCCAAATCTGCCATTGCTATTCTGAAACCTTGTAATTGATTAATTTCGCCTCTGACCATAACAATATGGGGTGCCCGTGTATATATTCATATACGCCGATCTACCGTATATTAGACTCAATTCTGAAATTAGGGCACACTGTATCAAAGTATTTGCTACAAATTCATACAACCTACTGAGGAATGATGATATATTTGGGCAGAATATCTTATAGGAAAGCTTATGTTATTGTTCATTAGAAACTATCACAAACTGTGTGAATTCCGCTCTCTGAAATATGGCAAAGAAATCCACTCGAGAAACTATAACACTCAAGCACACTGAATTCTCAACTGTAATTATAGACTATTCGTTACCAACAATCAGGACGCATGAAAATATTGAATAAAACTGAATGTTCGAGGAAAACCAGAAATAAAATATATAATACTTCCAAAATAGCAAGTGAGCTAGTAAAGTGAGCTGCCATAAGTTAGGTGTGTGTAAGGCACGATCAGGAGTTATCCATTTCCTTCATGATGTGATTCACTTTGCAATTGACAAGCTGTTTCGCCACTCTCATCGAATATGAATCTATCGCGCTTATAAGCTTCATGGAAAGAAATTGATGAAGATTAGGATTCGAAAAATCAAAGAGCATTTTGTTTGTATTCAACAGTTCATTACTTCCAATATTAGGTATTCCCGTAGTATGTGTACCAAGTTAGGGTTTGGCTATAATTTATTCTAATTTTCCTTATTTTAGTTCTATTACGAGTTCGGACACTGTTCGTGTTAACCAAGTAAACATACCCCCTGCCCATAGGCTTCTGTCCCTTCACACAACTTGAAAGTAAGCGAACAAAATTAGTTACAGCCATATTGGTACACAAACCACGGGAGCGTGCAATACTGCACACCACACCAAGTTGAATTTGACAGTCACTGGAATAGTTCGAATCCAAATTGACACTACACCAAAAGAACACAAACTTTCCGATTTCAGACTATTCCAAATTGTGTAATATTGACACAGATGCTTTCACAAGAATTCATATAACCTGTATTTGATTCAACATTCAAACACCTCAAAAATGGAAACAAAACTCACCCCCTGTTTTTTATCCGAGATATCTTTCACAACTTTTTCATGATTTGATGCAACCTCCTTAAACTTATTGCGCAACGATCTGATCTCAGCTTCTTCCTTAATAACTTCTTCATGTATTTCACCAGCTTGTGATCGCAAGGTCTCTTTTTCTCTGAAAACGTTGCAAGATAAGAAATACACAACATTTTAGCCAAGTTAACAATAAGTAATGATTCCTAACAAATTCCATACCCCAAGTATTTTAATTATGCCAATAATATGCTGCAAATGCACCTTTCAAACATAAACTAACCTTGCTAGGTTCGTCATAGTGCTTGTGTATTCACTGTTTCTCTGCTTAGCTCTCAATGCCATACGAGACATTTTTTCACGCAGTGTTGCAGACTGTTGTTTCAAATGGGTAAACTCCTGAGTATCTTCCATTACTGCTAACTTGTTATTGTCAATTTCATATGACTGGGCCTGCTTCTCTGATTCAATTTTCCTGTACAAATGAAAACGCAATTAGTGAAAAAAATGAAATGTTCAAAACAATTTCCCACCTACAGTCCATGTTTGCTAATCTGCTATAAAAAATATTTTGGTCATATTATGTCCTAATCCTAAAGATCAATTGATGTTTTGCCAATCAATGATTGAGACATTACAAACTTAATATAATAGATATATTAATACAATCACAAACATGGGAAATTAATCTAAGAACATAACTAGTGTGGAAATTTCTAAATATCAACAGAATTACAGTTTCCAGCTAACTACGAGTTCAAAAATAGTCGTGAAAGGCCGCTTACTTTTTATTTTCCTTCAAATTTTTATTATCTTTAGCTGTCTGAACAGCATCAGCTACAGTTTGTGCCATCGTTTCCATTACAGATATTACTCTTTCAGCCTCTCGTAACCTCTCTTGTGCCTCGATCTAAATGAAGCAATTGTTATTGAGTCTACTTTTCTTATTGATTTTAGCTAAATATGGTATTTGTGGATGCGATTGCCCAGTGGCTAAAACTAATAGTAGTGTCAGATCAAATAATCCAAGAATTCGGTGTTTACCTTAGTTCATCTTAAATTCATGCCATGTCATTATCATGAACATCACCAGGTGTATCGCATGGTTTACTCGCTATTGATGACTAGCTCGGGTCTTTTTTTTTCAAATACAGTGCAATGTGCAACACTAGTAATGTGTTAGTATGAATATAGCCGACCTAAAACTGGTACTCCTGATCGTCTTATACTGGTGTTTCAAATAAATTATTTCGAGCAGCAAATCCCTGGCATTTTTAAAATAGAACATGTATACGTATATGTCAGTTTGACACTTTTGTGATATATGGGATTTTTCATCGCCCCTAGGTGTCCACTCTGTTCCAAAACTATAGTAGATTTTCATCTAGCAGTAGCAGCTTGTTCCGACCAAGGCTAGACAATAACCTGAATACATATATACAAATTCTATTGATAAGAGGGGAGTCAAATGCTTTAAAACAAACCTGTTTTTCTTCTGATATTTTAACCTTCTGTGAAATAGCCTGTTTTCTCTCCATGTGACGTTTTGGGCTTGAAACAACTTTTGTGAGAAGATCTTCTTTCTCTTCTTTCAATTTATCTATGTATTTCGCTTTTTTGTCCTAAACAATGTTTGCATATACAAAATTAAACATAAAACTACAATTATACAAACAACTCATTAAAATTCTTGGAATGCATTCAGCACAGCACATTTATATTTTGACAGATAATCTTAAAATTACTATTATTATTTCATAATATTCTAAATTGATACATTGGTTCCCATAGCAACTCAGACAAAGAATTATCATCACTCAAATTAATAAGAATTATTTCTTGAAATTAGGACATCTGCAAGTAACTGGAATGCCTAAAGAACCACCATGTCGAAGATTTTTATTGCTAGAAAACATTTTTGCGAATTATCTAACTAACATCGCTTACTAGAGACAGATAATTATATCATATCATAAAATCTTACGTAAAAAGTCGCTACTTCTGAATATTGTTTTTTCAGTGAATCTTTCACTAATTCTTTTTCTGCTTTGCGTTTGTGGCATTCTTCAACTTCTAATTCAAGTTTTGCATTTTTTTCTCCTAACTCTTGTCTCCTGTGATCAATTTAAATAACACAATTCAATTAAAAAAGTACAAACACAGGTTAAATTTTATGTAAGTTTGCATTTGTAAATTGATCATCATTATTCTGTACAGTTATCAGAGATTGTGATGCATTTTCATATATGATTAAATAACCAACCCTGGCCATTTACAAGACCATATTTGCATTAATATATCACATGTTTATCCATAGTTATGTTAGAGAGATGTGAAAATGCTACTTTGGCCTATGTTCTTCATTATACGATTTCAATTCCGAAATTTTATCTTCATTACAGGACGTTTCTTCTGTAAGTACCCTGTATTCATCTTCAGCTGCAGCCTTGATGAAAACAAACAAGAAAATTCATTAAAACCTGTGTTGTGTTGAAATTCCCTTCACTTATTTCTAAGTTACTATAATATGATTAAGAATTAAAGATTGACCTCGTAGCTTGAATAAACTTGCTATTCCAGGAAAAAGAGTTTATTATTAAGTATCTTACACTGGCCGAATATATCTCCTCCCATACTTCATTATTACCATCCCAAGACTTGAAATAATTAATGCAAGCAGAAACAAATTTCTCCACTTTCTTCCATCCTGTTTAAAACAAAAGTAAAACCTTAGCCTTAAGGCAACATATATCAATAGTATATGATGTTTATACTATATATGATGAGGATTTATATTGAATCCACCACCTTCAATCCCTAACGTAACATGAGTTTCCCGCTAAATTTTCATACTGGGTTAAAAGGCTATTATAAATTTCTGAATAAATACATTTTTGTTTAATTTTCAATTCAGTTTTATTATATGTAAGCAAAACTTAATTTTGTTATTAAAACTTGCTACTCAACCATTAGTTGCCATAATTTGATTTTCAACTTAAAAATAGTGTTGTATCATAAATCGAACTGATAGATACTATTCATTAAAAATTGTTATTACTTACGTGGTGTAGTTAAATCCGTTAGAGCTAACTGGTTACCAAAAAGAGGAACAGTCTTCTTTCTGAAACATTTTTTTGAAACATAATTATATTTTTGATCAATTACCGAAAAGAAAAATGATATGTCTTAATTTATATTCAGTCTATTCTTAATGCTAAATCAAGTACAACAACTTATATGTAACTTACATAATGATGAAAATATGTATAAGTTTGAAAGTGTTTGTATATGTGTCAGGATGCTTCAACACCATCGAACTACTCAATCTTGGTTGGCATAGGGTGCTGATTTCAATTCCCATTTTGTTTAGCATGCTTAGGCAGAGCTGCATCATGACAGCAGGCTAAAAATAAAATTATTATTAGCTAGAACAGTGGTTCCCAAACTGGGGTCCGCGGACCTTTTGGGGTCCGTGACGCACCTTCGGAGGGTCCGCGAAACAAATCTGTAATACGGCTAATTAGGGCCCGACCGATACTGCCTTTTTGAACTGATACCGATACTGCTAGTTTTCCAAAACTAGGCCGATAAGCCGATAACGATGTTTCTTCACATATATTTGTGGCAGCATTTCTGTTCTGAAATACTTCTCAGTCTTTAGGGCGTAGCGAGGTTCAATGGTTTCTATTAGCCTGCGGAATCCATCATCTTGCACTATTGCAAATGGCCTGTTGTCAGTGGCTATCATCTCCATTATTATTTTATCAAGTGATTTCGTTCTTGCGTCATTTCCATGCCATTTATTAAATTTATCCATTATGTGTTCCCATGAAGGTTGCCGATTAAACTGGGAAGCTTCAGCTGGCCTTTTTCGCGTTAACTGCGTCTGCGAAATCTCATCATACTTGCTCTTGTGTTTCGATCTGAGATGACTCCACAAATTACTGGTGTTTTTCTTTTTGGAATCGGCGGAACCTCGACTTAACAATGATGAGCATATTTTACAAAGTACACCATCACTGTGGCATACAAAGTATTCCCATACTTTGCTCTTACCGCTAGAACCAGCCATCTATAACATACCAATACAAGAAGTTAAATAATACCTTCAACGACTGAAGCGCAAGGGAAATCAAGCGCCGTGTAAACTACGCGAAAATTCTCTATCTAGCGTATATTATTTGACACAAATAAGCCGTTCACGTGTTCTATTGCTTCGATTTGTAAGCCACCACGCTGCAAACTTGCTTGCAAAGTGTGAAATCCCGTGTCGCAATCGTCCGTGAAACCGCTTTTGATAAGAGAGAAATAGAAATAGTGAAGAAAAAGAGTTTTACGCAGAACCGCTCTCGAATTAAACAAGCGATAAAACTGCTTTCCCGGCAACCTTCAACAACTAAAGCGCAAGGGAAATCAAGCGCCGTGTAAACTACGCGAAAATTCTCTATTTAATCTAGCGTATATTATTTGACACAAATAAGCCGTTCACGTGTTCTATCGCTTCGATTTGTAAGCCACCACGCTGCAAACTTGCTTGCAAAGTGTGAAATCCCGTGTCGCAAACGTCCGTGAAACCGCTTTTGATAAGAGAGAAATAGAAATAGTGAAGAAAAAGAGTTTCACGCAGAACCGCTCTCGAATTAAACAAGCGATAAAACTGCTTTCCCGGCGCAATTTTGACACTTTGGCAGTCACGTGATTAGCCGATAACTATCGGTAAAATTAGCCGATACCGATAGTTCAAAATTTGTGAAAAACAAGGCCGATATATCGGTCGGGCCCTACGGCTAATAGCTTGACATTAAAATTGAGTGCTTTAATTTGCAAATACACAATTGCCGCCTTTTGCTGCCTCGCAATCACCACTGGAGACACTGATTCTTCACTTTCTGTTTCGATCACGCAGCCCCATTGTGATGTCACATAGCTGTAGGCTTGGAATATCACAGAAAGAGGTCGACTGCTACCATTACAAGTTTACTAATTGCAGAACTGTAGCTCACGCTGGTCTTCTGCATGTTTACTAAATACCGAAACAGACTGGATGTCACACACATGTCATTGGAGTTGGGCTTTTTGTTCGTTTCACTATACAGCGCATTGATTTTTTGTCCTAATCTCTTAAGGCCGGGGATCAGTGAAAAAAATTGCAAGGGGTCCGTCATGGAATTTTTTTTAAAAAGTTTGGGAACCACTGAGCTGGAATGAAATAAAAAAAAATTTAATATTTTAAAAGTTTAATATATATATATATATATTATTAAAACAGCTTTTTCAAGTTTCGCCCTTTCGTGTTCAAGCCCTATAATTGGAATAATTTTTAATCGTGTTACTTGTTGATAGGAATCTATGTCTATAAAATAATATTGTGAATTGTGATGAAACATTATATAAATGAAAATGTAGATCAGTGGTTCTCAAACTTTTTGAAAAATTATGCATAACAGTCCTCTTGCAATTTTTCTGATGACTTGCGGTCCACCAAAGAAATGAAAGCAAATAGCAACGCGGTATATCAAGCATTCATCTATTGAATGACATTAAAACTGAAGTTCAATGAGCCTGCTTGGCTTCCACTAGTTCCTCTACCTTGGGTTCTGTTTTGGATGACTCAACTTTCAAATCATGTCTCACATTCCAACAATCTGTTCCGACATTTTGTTTTAATAGCGAGTAACGTAGAAAAAGATGCCTCACATTCGCAAGTTGTTGTAAATGGAATGAACGTTTTTAGGGCCATCTTAGCGACATCGGGATAAGACGGTGCCACTGTGGTTTTTTTTTCTTTCATCACTTATCACAGCAAATTCAAATTTCACATATGAATCGTTTATCTAAGTTTATTTTTTATGATGGGGGGGGGGGCATTTTTAGATTACCCCAAAAAAAAATTTAAAATCTGATGCACATGCCCTCCATTAACAATACGCTCTGATTTGTAGTACTTGCCACGTTCACTAAAGTTTGTTATGTTATAAAACTCTTCGGTAGAGCATGTCATCCTTTGGAGAAACACTGTAAAAGCAGTGCTTCTGTGCCAAGGTTGAAGCTGTCTTGCGGTCCCCCTAAAATCGCTTCGCGGACCCCAGTTTAAGAACCAATGATGTAGTAGATGAACAACATCACAATTATCACTAGGTTTCTAATTCATCAGCTAACAATTGCAAACCTAAAGTGTTAGTTAGTATAGTTAGAATGAGTGCTATCATTTAGAAAAGTTCACCGTGGGGTTCTTTAAATGTTCAGGCAGAATGTCCATTGCAATTTCACCCAACACACCCTCTCTCAGGCAATTGATAATTTCCTCCAATTCCAAAACAGGAATAACAAAATTTGTCATATCCGGCATCACCATCGCTTTGTATCGAAATATTAATATTTTAAAACTGAATGGTGCATAAGCTATTCTATATCTATTTACAAAAAGAAGGAATGAATATCATATTGTATAAAATAGGAAGAGCCCAACAGGTACATAACAGTATAACCAGCTGAAACAACAAACTTCACAATCTAACTTAACTTTTAGTCCAAAATTGGAATAAGATGAATGAACTAAATATTCTGCATGCCCTTGATTGAGTGAAAATATAACAATACATTCAACATAAACTTGAACAAGCAGAAACAACAGTTTAATCTTCTGACATATAAAAAAACGAAAAGTAATTCAAGAAAAGTAGGTGTGTATTATTAAGTATCAACCAATTCGGTACATTTGACCTATGTACAATAATGTATTTAATAGTAAGATTGCATCCAGAATAAAAAGCAACCATTCAGAAATTCTTCAACAAAGCATCATAATATGGGTAGTGCATTGATCCATTTAATAACATGTATTTATTATGCAATAATATCAATGCAAAATTTTTCAAACAAAGAAGCTTTTAAAAATGTTATATTGTTACCCTTTTTTACCAGTAGTGCTCAAAAACAGTGATTAAAGTGTATCGATAATTTAATTAAATAATTTAGTTGGCGTACGATACACACTAGAGATAAATCATTGTTATGTTTTCATTCTAAGATAATATTGCTAAAACATTGTTACAGAGTTGTGATGGGGTTTTTACAGATATTGTTAAAACTCACACATAGAAACTTTTAGGAACTATTTTCAAACACCATACTATCTTAATTTTAAAATACAATATTCCATATATTATCTTCCCAAAATCATGAAAAAGTTGGTCTGTAGACTTGTTCAGACAAATTCGAACAAGATAAAAGATGTAAACGTCTCGAGAACTAAACAAATACGGCTCGGAGACAGTTGGAACAAAATGAAGTTTGATCGATATAGTTTTGAGAAGATAGTATTCAAAGTTGGCTCCGATTTATTTAATTAGTATAAAAGAAAACATCAAATCAACAAAACATATGTACACAACAAGCAAAACAAAGAAAATGCTAACCGCTGCCACCGGCTCACACTTACCAAATTTTTAATATGCAACTACCTCCCTGAGTCCCTATCATGAAAGGTTCAAAATAAACACAATTTCAAAAATGAGGTGTTATAAATATAAAATCCTGATACACCAACTTGGATAAGGTAGAGTAGTGACAAGTTACAACACATCTGTCCAGGACGAAATATTAGGGATGAAATTCTCAATTTCTTAAACAAATCTTAAATTGTACTAACAGGTTTATATCGGTAGCATTCTGTTCAACATGCAAATCACATCTTACACTACCCCACTACTAACAAAAATTTTGAATCGAAACAGCAGCTAGAAAAGAAAATCTCGCTCATTGTATTACAGTACCTTAACTGACATTTGTCGATGTCTTACCGACCATTATCATAGCCTGGTAATAATTTCAGCAGAGCATTTTGTAAATTTTCATTAACGACAAATTTGTAATTTTTTCCAAGTTCAAAACGGCAAGTTGGACAGGAATAAACTTCAGCATTGAAAGATCGTTTTAGACAAGATTTGCAAATATTATGCTTACACTCTGAAGTAATAGGTTTATAGACAACATCTTGACAACAAATACATGTAAAAACCTCTTCAAGTTTTTGAAAAAAATTAATTTGTCCTTCCTCAGCACATTCTTTCACTTCATCCCAAAGCTTGGAATTAGCTTCATCTAATTTGATGAATTCTTTCACATCTGCAGTGATTTTATATGCTATAATTTTAGATTTTTTGTTTGGAGATCCTCCAGCACCAACTTCTGATTCTCTCTTTCTCTTTTTACTTTTCTTATCATCTTCTTTAGTGGCCTGGGACTCAAGATAACCATCAGGATACTGTAAGACCAATCCCAAATTTTTTGCTTTCTTTTTACCTTCTTTAGTCCAAGGAGCAGGTTCAGAATCATCACGTCGAAACAAATAACGCCATACAATAAAACCAGACTTTCCCTTTTCTGGCCAATATTTTACGACCTTATAAATTCCATCATATCTATTTCCATCCTCGGGAGCATATTCACTATGCTTTGCACCTTTGTAGTTACGTACAACTCTTATTGGTGATCCTTTCTTCCAATCTTTTGCAACATTACCTTTGATGCTATCAAGCTTTGCATCACAAGATCTAGCAATTGATAAGTTGCTTTTGGTAAGAACTTGGTCACATGATTGTTCAGCGGTTCTTTTGTTTCCTGAAAGGTCACGACCCCCACTTCCTGTATATGTGAATTCCTCTCCATTGTCTTCGTCATCTTCATATCCACCAGCGAGAACAATGGAATAGCAAGCATCAGTTCCTTTACCATGGATGCCAGAAACGTGGGGTCGGTGAACACCAGCCTCACTAACCTGGACACGAAATTTCCAAAGACTCCCAACAGGGATTCCAGGTATTGGGCCGAAGTGGTTTGAGGGTACTATAGTACAGACTTTACTTCTCCCAACACACGCCATTCCTTTCCCCCAATCACGTTGTGTAGTTGAAGTTGCCGATTTCATTTTCGATTTTTTCTTACTTTCTTTCAACCTTTCTCCAGCCATAACAACCTCAGACTTATCATTTCGACAAAGAGGGCAGTACCAGTCATCAACATCAGGAAGGTTTTCAAGAGGTGGATTGAGACAGAATGTGTGGAAAGGTAAATTACATTCGTCACATAATAATGTTTTGTCGAAGTCTTTCTTTTCGCCACACACATGACAACCACATTCCTTACATTTACAATTTGGTTTGTCATTGCAATGAGAGCATTCTGGATCAGTCATGGTATGTCGTTTTACAGGCACCTCCTGCTCATCTTCCACTCTGTTTTCCAATGAGCCTGGTTCTTCAATTTGAAATATTTCTTCCACAAAAACAATTTTACATGGTTGCAATGTTTTGTCAGAAGCTAATAAAATTTGGACCTTCAAATTTTTGTATTTTCTGCGTTCCTTTTTTTCAATAACTATGCAATCGTACCAAAATCCTCTTTCCTTTGGGTTGTCAATGTTGTAATTAGCCATTACAACATCACCAATGTCAAATTCACTCCATTCTAAAAGCTTGCGAGCTCGTGGACGTATCATTCCATTTGATACAATTTCTATTTCATCATACTGTTCAAATTTTACATGGTACAGAAGATCAGCTTCATTAGTGCCATTGATAACAGTTTCTGTATTCGAGCTAGATGGTTTACAATCATCGAATGCGGGAGCAACATTTTCCTTATTTTCATCACTCGCAACATTATCGTTACTCTTTACAGAAACAAAGTTTTCCATCGAAGTCTGCTTCTGAACTATAACAGGCTTGCAGAAATCATCTGAATTTATGCATTTGTTTTCTAAAATTTCAGGTTGTTCGGATTTTGATTTCATTTCAACTTTCATTACAACTGCTTCAAACCATGCTCCCATATTTTTATCTTGCGCATCAACTCGCTCAAAAATTTTGTATTGGCCAATAGAAGGTAACATTTTATCACCGATTACTTTTTTCCCCTCAATATCCACACCGCTGTCTGAATCACAATTTTTTACATTTTCTTCAAGTTTTTCATTGTCTTTTTCTGTTGCATTTTTGTCTTCTAATTCAGCTTTAATCAAGACTGGAGGAGTGACTCTTTCCAATAATTGAATGATGTTATTCAAACAAATACTATAATCAAACAGTGTGTGGCCATCTACTAGTTGTTTACCATTAAAAAATAAACGTTGCTTATCCTCCTCCACCTCAAACTTTTCCTTGATTTTTCCGCGAATATCTTCAATTTTTGTAAGTTTGGAAAGTCCGTCAATTTTGATAGATTTTTTTCCATCGAAGGTTCTTACTTGAATCCACATTTTGGCAAGCTGGTCTACAGAAAAGTTATTTACTCAAATGCAAAGTGGTCAATAACTGAAAGGAAATATTTAGCTGTTAAGTAATAAATATAATGTATTTAAATATTATTAGACATGAGGTGGCCTGATAGCAGTATGGATCAATTTGGTATTACAGTATTATGTCAGTATGTTGTCGTTGTTAAAAAAAAAATCACTTTAATTACTGGACCAATTCAGCAATTGCTCTGAAATTTTCATTCTGCCAGTTGTTAGAGATTAGAACAGTACGGCACACTATACAAATCGGGTGACATTGTCCCGTTTCAGAGAAACCCATTTTACAGATGATCAGACACCCCTCTTTCGGGAGACAGCTGGACATTGTTGTCCCTCAATATCGGTAATAATACAGTTTAATGAAGTTGAGCAAAATACTACAAAAAAGCGCAATCTAGTAACGTCATCATTGAATTCCTTGGAAAAAAATAATCCAATTTACCGAAGGAAAAAAACTTTTACCGTAGCATTCGAAAAGTTTTTAGCAAAAACGCCAATTTCGGTCATGTGACAGTCGCAATTAATTTAGATTATTATTGAGACAAGCATGGCGTGATATGAAGCATCTGTCGTGGTCCCAGACGCCCCTCGTTTGTGAGACACATGGAGTGTTTGTTTCATTGAGCCAAATGGAGGAAAATTCTTGGAATTTGGATAGTGCTGTAGTGTGCTGTACAGTGGAAGGGCACAGTTCTCAGATTCCAAGATGTCCCGACATCTGGTTCAATAAAACGAACTCTGGTTGTTTCTAAAACAAGCCCTTATAGCAGCTGTACTGTATAGCATGAGGCGTCAGATCGCATAGTCATTGTCTGGATAATAATTTAAGTCAATCGCGACATCCATCGCATGACTAAAATTGCAGTTTTTTATTAAAAGATTCTCGAATGCTACTGTAAAATTTTGTCCCACCGTTTGCAGTATTGACTGTAAATCGGGTTATTTTTTTTCGAGAAATCCAATGGCAGAATGGCAATAATTTTAGATTGTGCAGGTCATTTGTTGCAATACTGCAATATGAAGGCCCAGACTGTCTCGGTAATGGCTGTAAGGAGGGTTGGTTTCTGGGTTTGCACTCACTGCAGCACTGCTATCGCCATCGGTAGACTATAGACTGATAGATGTCTATTAACGAGGGGGCTATTCTTGAAATCGCAGAACTGTGCCACACTGGGATTGTAATTTTTACTGAAAGGCTATTTTCTTTATTACGAAAATTTTGTGTCCAAATACAAAAATAAAATATTTGAACATCGCTCTTACTATTTGCAATTAGGCAACTTTCAAAGACTCACGAAATCAAATTTCAAGTAGATTTGCATTCTATGCAAAAATTGATCAAGTCACCAATCCACAGATCCAGCTTGCGGTACGGAATTTCAGTACCTGCGAACCCACGACTGCACGAAGGGTACGGTAATCAGAGTTGCGGTGGGGAGCGTATTCCTAACGCTTAGCACGATGCGCCACGGATCAGCGGATAGGCCTATACGAAATTATCTTTTTAAATTTGTCTTTTACAAGCTTTACACACATGTCTCTGGCCCTTATTCTATATTCTTTATATTTTCCTGGTCCAGCGGAGTCGGAATGAACTTAAGTTATACGGTAACTTAACTTAGCCTACTTATCGTATTATACCTGTATATTTTCTCACCAGGGAATAAAGCAGAGCTTTTATTTGGCGGGAAAGTCAATGGAGTGTGACAAAATGTTTCGATTGACCTTTAACCGTAAAGATATCTTTAAAGATGGGTTATCACCACAGAGATTCAGTGGTTATCACCACCAACGACTAACAAACATTTTTGTAGCAAATTTGATTCTATATAAATTATTAAGATTTTGGCATTAACCGTTTGCATAAAATGGATTTCTTTTCCGAGAATCAAATTTTTAAAAGTCGACCCTGCCGAAATCGAACGCAAATTAGTATGTCTACCCAATGACATTAAACAACATGATAGGCAACTCTGACGTCACTCCATAAGACTACAGGCAAAACATTGTATTTCATGATACGCTCCAATGCACATATTTCTCGTCGCCTTTCGTGTGCGTTTTCCGCTCGCTTTTGCTACTCGGCGTCTTTTTTACGTGTAGTACCTGTCTTTTTGCGCCTGTAACGAAACAAAATAATCTCTATATCTAAGAAGTTTTGCTTACTTGGAAAGCTGGAATAACAGGCAAGCTGTAAAGAGCAATTCTGGACATCATAGACGTTTTTTTTTTATCAGAGAAGATTACAAACGCGATAGCGGAAAGATTTGTGTGGAACATTTTGCAGATAATGACAAAGTTCAAAGTTAGTAATTTTAATGTTTGCGCTTAATCATTGAAATTTCATTTAAAGAGGGTGTCATACAAAACTGTGCTGCGATACAATTCCATAACACAAAGTTTGCACCTATCGAACTTGCTTTTGTAGGTGAATTTATTAGACATATTACATATTCAGTTAATCGTAGGTAACATTGCTGGTACATAATGCATCATAGAGGTTTGTTTAAATTTAGGAATTTAGCCCACTAATTAATATTATCTTCTATGCAGGAGGTTGCAGGGCTGAATTCAACTTGCAGCCTTACCGATCACCTGACGATGCTCATTTAGTTTGGCTCGAGCAAGTCTCCTTGAAATGCTTGTGTGGATGGAAACTACCTATATTTTTTGCCTTCCTCCGATTTTAGACAAATTTATTCTGAGGAATTTCGCATATAATTCTCACTGATTGTTGGCTGTTTATAATTCCTATTGATTGTGAATTCTGATTATAACAATGAGTTGAAAATTTTTTTACCTAATTTACTGGCACCTTTTTCTTGTCAATACTCCAAGCTGAGGTAATAAACATGACAATACATTTATGTCATCTGGAAGCAAAATATGCACACTAATTAATAGTTTGGCACATTGAGATAATACATCATGACAGAAAATACAAGTTAAAGATATGTATGACCATCACATGGTAATTAAAATAAAAAAAAATTAATAGGGGCTGTGGAGTATGGAAAGTTCAAGACAAAGAAAAAGACAAATGTTCATAGCTCATGAACTCTCAATATTGCCTCCATTGCTTTGTGAAGGCCAATATATTTCGAGTGGCTGAATTGGTTTACCTTCATGATAGCAACGATTTTGTATTTAATATAGCGAGATGTTTTCAATTTAATTGAAGTGATATAATCTCCCAAAGCAATGCTTGAATTGTCTAGAATAGATCAGTGGTGTCAAACTCATGGGTTTTCGAGAGCCGCATTGCATTTTGAAAATTGTAAAAAGAGCCGCAAACAGTTTTTGATAATGTATACTTAAAAGATATTTTTAAGATAGTTTTAGTTTGTGACATATATTGTGATGCAACTAAACAGTTGGATTGAGTTTTATTATTTTCTTCAATTTCAAATGCAATTACATATTAATATTTGCATTCCACTATTATTGCAACATTTGCAAGTTACAGTATTTATTATAAAAAATCGTAAAATTCTATGTACAACCAGAGCCATTATATAACTAGTCTGGAAGGCAGTATACTGACCTGTTGTTCACAGCGTCATCTAGTGTTGGCGTGGGTAATTCATCACCACGGCGTCGTCTGCTCTATATTTTAGGCTGCTCGCTGTTAACGGTATTCAAAGTTCGAATGAAAATGGATTTATCTGAGGAAGAAATGCTTGAATTTTTTGATGACGTGAGTTATATAGTACTGATTGCTTATTAAAATAGGTTTTGATCCTGAAAGAATGAATAGTAAGAGTTTATAGTACCGTAGTTTAATATATGAAAGTAGAGACCGTTTATGTTTTGTTAAAAATTTGGGGTCTCATGTACTTTCTTACCTGAATAACTTCTAGTGGGCGTGGCGTAACAATTTTTTGGATATATGATTCCTGACCCCTACCTGATGACGTCATCCAAAAATTACGTCACTGCGACGTCACAATAACGAAATACAGCTTGCCAAAGTATAGCGACGGTCACCCGTAATGGCGCCTACGAGTATGTCAACAAACTCAATACGTCAGCGACCTCTCTCTTATCGGGGTCGTTGTACAGAGCTCAAAAATAAACAAGAATCACAAGCGACTAAATTGTCGCCAAGGAACGTTCACGATATCCCATTCTGACCAATTTCTGTCCAGCAATAGCTCATGTATCGTGCTACAATCTAAAATAGAGCGTTATACGATACAACTCTAACCAAGGCTTTAGACAAGCAGAAAATACATGTTATTTTACGCAATGGTTGAAGTTGGGTGCCACACACATAAAGACTTATTATTTTATGTCCAGCAATAGCTCATGTATTGTGCTACGATCTATTAATAGGGTGATATACGATACCGCTCTGAGCTAGGCTTTAGACAAACAGAAAGAACATTTAATTCACGCAATGATTGAGGTTAGGTGCCGCAGACATAAAGACTTGTTATTTAATATCCAGAGACTGATCATGTATTGGGCCACATTTTATATATAGGACGTGGAACGCTTTCACTCTATGCAAGGCTTTAGACAAGCAGAAACCGACATATTAATTTGCCTTGGCGCAATGGATGTAGTTTCTTACCTCGATAACTTATACTTATCTTAGCGTAACAATTTTTGCATATATCATTCCTGACCCTCACCTGACTTCGTCATCCAAAAATTACGTCAATGCGATGTCCCAATAACGAAATCGAGCTTGCCCAATAATAGCGACCATAATGCAATCGTGATAAATACGCCTGTGTGTCCGGTATGGGTGTAGTTTCGTACCTCAATAACTTCTAGTTAACTTAGCGTAACAATTTTTGCACGTAATATTCCTGACCCTCACCTGATTTAATCATCAAAAAATTACGTCAATACGACGTCACAATAACGAAATAGAGCTTGCCTAATAATAGCGACGATTACTGGTAATGCCACCTATGGATGTAGTTTCTTACCTCAATAACTTTTAATTATCTTAGCGTAACAATTTTTGCATATAATATTTCTGACCCTCACCTGACTTCATCATCCAAAAATTACGTCAATGCGATGTCACAATAACGAAATCAAGCTTGCCCAATAATAGCGACCATAATGCAATCGTGATAAATACGCCTGTGTGTCCGCTATGGATGTAGTTTCCTACCTCAATAACTTATACTTATCTTAGCGTAACAATTATTGCATATAATAGTCCTGACCCTCACCTGACTTCATGTTCCAAAAATTACGTCAATGCGACTTCACAATAACGAAATAGTGATTGCCTAATAATAGCGACCATAATGCAATCGTGATAAATACGCCTGTGTGTCCGCTATGGATGTAGTTTCTTACCTCAATAACTTCTAGTTAACTTAGCGAAACAATTTTTGCAGATATCATTCCTGACCCTCATCTGACTTTGTCATCCAAAAATTACGTCACTGCAACGTTACAATAACGAAATAACGCTTGCCCAATATTAGCGACGTTACTAGCAATGCCACCTATGGATGTAGTTTTTTACCTCAATAACTTATACTTATCTTAGCGTAACAATTTTTGCATATATCATTCCTGACCTTGCCCTGACTTCTTCATCTAAAAATTACGTCAATGCGAATTCACAATAACGAAATAGAGCTTGCCTAATAATAGCGACGATTACTATTAATGCCACCTATGGATGTAGTTTCTTACCTCAATAACTTCTAGTTAACTTAGCGAAACAATTTTTGCATATATCATTCCTGACCCTCACCTGACTTTGTCATCCAAAAATTACGTCACTGCAACGTCACAATAACGAAATAACGCTTGCCCAATATTAGCGACGATTACTAGCAATGCCACCTATGGATGTAGTTTCTTACCTCAATAACTTCTAGTTAACTTAGCGAAACAATTTTTGCATATAATATTCATGACCTTCACCTGACTTCGTCATCCAAAAATTACGTCACGGCAACGTCACAATAACGAAATAGAGCTTGCTCAATAATAGCGACGATTACTATTAATGCCACCTATGGATGTAGTTTCTTACCTCAATAACTTATACTTATCTTAGCGTAACAATTATTGCATATATTATTCCTGACCCTCACCTGACTTCATGTTCCAAAAATTACGTCAATGCGACTTCACAATAACGAAATAGAGCTTGCCTAATAATAGCGACCATAATGCAATCGTGATAAATACGTTTGTGTGTCCGCTATGGATGTAGTTTCTTACCTCAATACCTTCTAGTTAACTTAGCGTAACAATTTTTGCATATAATATTCATGACCTTCACCTGACTTCGTCATCCAAAAATTACGTCACTGCAACGTCACAATAACGAAATAGAGCTTGCTCAATAATAGCGACGATTACTATTAATGCCACCTATGGATGTAGTTTCTTACCTCAATAACTTATACTTATCTTAGCGTAACAATTATTGCATATATTATTCCTGACCCTCACCTGACTTCATGTTCCAAAAATTACGTCAATGCGACTTCACAATAACGAAATAGAGCTTGCCTAATAATAGCGACCATAATGCAATCGTGATAAATACGTTTGTGTGTCCGCTATGGATGTAGTTTCTTACCTCGATAACTTATACTTATCTTAGCGTAACAATTTTTGCATATATCATTCCTGACCCTCACCTGACTTCGTCATCCAAAAATTACGTCAATGCGATGTCACAATAACGAAATCGAGCTTGCCCAATAATAGCGACCATAATGCAATCGTGATAAATACGCCTGTGTGTCCGGTATGGGTGTAGTTTCGTACCTCAATAACTTCTAGTTAACTTAGCGTAACAATTTTTGCACGTAATATTCCTGACCTTCACCTGATTTAATCATCAAAAAATTACGTCAATACGACGTCACAATAACGAAATAGAGCTTGCCTAATAATAGCGACGATTACTGGTAATGCCACCTATGGATGTAGTTTCTTACCTCAATAACTTTTAATTATCTTAGCGTAACAATTTTTGCATATAATATTTCTGACCCTCACCTGACTTCATCATCCAAAAATTACGTCAATGCGATGTCACAATAACGAAATCGAGCTTGCCCAATAATAGCGACCATAATGCAATCGTGATAAATACGCCTGTGTGTCCGGTATGGGTGTAGTTTCGTACCTCAATAACTTCTAGTTAACTTAGCGTAAACAATTTTTGCACGTAATATTCCTGACCCTCACCTGATTTAATCATCAAAAAATTACGTCAATACGACGTCACAATAACGAAATAGAGCTTGCCTAATAATAGCGACGATTACTGGTAATGCCACCTATGGATGTAGTTTCTTACCTCAATAACTTTTAATTATCTTAGCGTAACAATTTTTGCATATAATATTTCTGACCTTCACCTGACTTCATCATCCAAAAATTACGTCAATGCGACTTCACATTAACGAAATAGAGCTTGCCTAATAATAGCGACCATAATGCAATCGTGTTAAATACGCCTGTCTGTCCGCTATGGGTGTAGTTTCATACCTCAATACCTTCTATTAGGCTTAGCGTAAGAATTTTTGTATATATGATTCCTGACCCTCACCTGACTTCGTCATCCAAAAATTACGTCACTGCAACGTCACAATCACGAAATAACGCTTGCCCAATAATAGCGAAGATTACTAGTAATTCCACCTATGAATGTAGTTTCTTACCTCAATAACTTATACTTATCTTAGCGTAACAATTTTTGCATATAATATTCCTGACCCTCACCTGACTTCGTCATCCAAAAATTATGTCGCTGCGACTTCACAATAACGAAATAGAGCTTACCTAATAATAGCGACCATAATGCAATCGTGATGAATACGCCTGTCTGTCCGCTATGGGTGTAGTTTCATACCTCAATACCTTCTATTAAGCTTAGCGTAACAATTTTTGTATATATGATTCCTGACCCTCACCTGACTTCGTCATCCAGAAATTACGTCACTGCAACGTCACAATCACGAAATAACGCTTGCCCAATAATAGCGACCATAATGCAATCGTGATAAATACGCCTGTGTGTCCGGTATGGGTGTAGGTTCGTACCTCAATAACTTTTAATTATCTTAGCGTAACAATTTTTGCATATAATATTTCTGACCTTCACCTGACTTCATCATCCAAAAATTACGTCAATGCGACTTCACAATAACGAAATAGAGCTTGCTTAATAATAGCGACCATAATGCAATCGTGATAAATACGCCTGTGTGTCCGCTATGGGTGTAGTTTCGTACCTCAATAACTTCTATTAGGCTTAGCGTAACAATTTTTGTATATAATATTCCTGACCCTCACCCGACTTCGTCATCCAATAATTACGTCACTGCAACGTCACAATAACGAAATAGAGCTTGCCCAATAATAGCGACGTGATTCGTAATGGCACCTATGGATGTAGTTTCGTACCTCAATAACTTCTAGTTAACTTAGCGTAACAGTTTTCGCAAATAATATTCTTGACCCTCACCTGATTTCGTCATCAAAAAATTACGTCAATGCGAATTCACAATAACGAAATAGAGCTTGCCCAATAATAGCGACGATATTCGTAATGACACCTGTGGATGTAGTTTTGTACCTCAATTACCTATAGTTAACTTAGCGTAACAATTTTTGCATATAATAATCCTGACCCTCACCTGATTTCGTCATCAAAAAATTACGTCAATGCGAATTCACAATAACGAAATAGAGCTT